AAAATAGAATAGAATAGAATAGAATAGAATAGAATAGAATAGAATAGAATAGAATAGAATAGAATAGAATAGAATAGAATAGAATAGTGTTCAGTTGGAAGGGACCCACAACAATGATCTAGTCCAACTGCCTGGCTACATCAGGGCTGACCAAAAGTTAAAGCATGTTATTAGGGCATTGTCCAGATGTCTGTTTTTAAGGCACTGATTCATGGGACATCAACCATGTCTAGGAAGCCTGTTCCAGTGTTTGACCACCTCTCAGTAAAAAAAAGCTTCCCAATGTCCAGTCTAAACCTTCCCTGGTGCATCTCTGAACCACGCATCCTATCACCAGATCCCAGGGAGAAGAGATCAGCACCTCCCTCTCCACTTCCCCTCCTCTGGAAGCTGAAGAAAGCAATGAGGTCACCCCTCAGCCTCCTTCTCTCCAACCTAGACAAACCCTCAGCAGCTCCTCACAGGACATTCTTTCCAGCCCTTCCACCAGCTTTGTTGCCCTCTGGATGCATTCAAGGACCTTCTCAACCTGTAGGGCCCAGAACAGCACACAGCACTCAAGGTGAGGCTGCACCAACGCTGAGTACAGTGGGATGGTCACCTCTTTTGCCCGGCTGGTTATGCTGTGTCTGAGGCACCCCAGGATGCGGTTTGCCCTTCTGGCTGCCAGGGCACACTGCTGGCTCACACTGAGCCTGCTGTCGACCAGCACCCCCAGATCCCTTTCTGCAGGCCGGCTCTCCAGCCACTCCTCTCCCAATTGTACTTAGGTTCAGCATTACTCCATCGCATGTGCAGGATCTGGCATTTGTTCTTGTTAAATTTCATCCAACTGATGATTGCCCAATGTTCCAATCTATCTACATCCCGCTGCAAGGCCTCTTGTCCCTCAAGAGAGTTGACAGCACCTCCCAGCAGGTACCATCAGCAAGCTTGCTAATGGTGCATTCAACTCCTGCATCCGGATCATTGATAAAAATGTTGAACAGAACTGGCCCAAGAATTGAGCCCCGAGGAACAACACTGGTGACCAGTCACCAGCCAGATGTAACCCCGTTCACTACACTCCCTGGACCCTGCTGTTCAGCCAGTTCTTCACCCAGCGCAGCATGAACCCACTCATCCCACAGCTGGACAACTTGTCCAGAAAGATGCTGTGAGGGACAGAACCAAAAGGCTTACTAAACCCAAGAAAAACTGCATCCACTGCCTTCCCTTCATCCACTAGGTGAGTGATCTTATCATAGAAGGATGTTAAAGGCAGGACCTTCCCTTTATGAACCCATGTTGACTGTACCTGATGATTGCATTGTCCCTGAAATGCTTTTTAATAGCACTCAGTATGATCTTCGTAAGTATCTACAATTAAAAGGTTTGCCTTCTGAATTCATCCAGGAATGTGGAATTATTGTTTATCTTTTGCCTATGCTCCTACCTCCTCCAGCCCATATCAGATATTGCAAAGGATAAAATCATTCACAGGCTCTGGACAGAAATACATTTTTTATTGTTGCAGACTTCCAAAGGTCCAGTGTGTACTTTACACCCTGAAAGCATTCTTTTTTTCTTCTTGCAAATCTCCTTGACTTTTCAGAAGAAACCAAAGACACAAAACAGTCACCAAAAGCATCAAAATACACAATGAACAAGTTTGGAAATAAAGCAAATCATTGTTTTATTCAAGTACATCTAACAAGTTTAAACATTTGTAGCCTACAAGCTTATGTTAGTAACATAAATTTCTAAGAACCTATCTAACAACAGAAATCACTGGAACAGCTCTAGCAAATTTTATCGTCTCTGGAAAGGGATAGGAATGAATTTACTTAATAGATTCATTAGATGAAATCGCTTATTACTTGATAGGTGATTTGGACAGAGCTATAGCTGAAACTAATTTGATTCTTTCTTCATTCACAAACACAGAGACACAGTAAAATGCATCCTGATGGTGTTTCCCATTGCACATCTTCTGCAAAAATTACTCTGTTAGGGGTTTCTCCGCCTCTTCTTCAGATAATTGGTAAACGCATGCAGGACTGCTTCTTGAAGTCTGTTGCTGTGGAACACCCATAAAGGGATGAACTGCAGGACACGTGCCTTCAGAATAATCAAGCAAAAACAATACAAAGGCAAAGGGTTATAGAAACCTCTTGAAATAAATTAACTGAGTGTTCAGAAAGACATAGAAAACAGTAAATGCAAAATTTTATACTTTCAGTATGTGTGTTTCTCTTAAGCTGTTAATTCCTCTCAGTTTCCAGCAAATCTTTTCCCTTCCAAATACTTTAATTTAATGCTCATCATCATAACAGCTGCCTTGTATAAATATTTATTCTATTGTGTTAGCTTGGTATCCTAAGGAAATTATGTTTATGTGATAGCACAGTCTGTTTTTATGTCATTCCCCTTCCCCACTAATAACTTTTGAATCTGCTGACCAATGTCTGTAAAGGAGTAGAGGTCCTAATCTGGTCATAAAAACAGGCAGCTAGAGAAAGGATAAAGTCTAATCAGATATCAAAATGAGATCAGCTCAAGACACAAAAGTGCAGAAAGCCACACTGTGCTGATAACATTATGCTTTACTTGTATATTCCTCCCTTCATAGTTTACTGGTGCCATATTAGCCTGAACAACCTATTCACCGTTTCTCTATTGATATCCATACTTAAGGTCTCTGAAAACAGTCAAAAGAACATGCTGAGTCCAGGCAGACTTGGTTCAGCCTTTGGGACCTATTTACACACCAACACATTCAATTACCAGCATTTCATGGGCTAAACATCCAAAAATCTCATCTCCAAAGGTGACATAATCCAGTGATTCACTAACAAACGCTTCTGCCGTCTTTGTAATAAGACCGGGTTTTTGGTACATTGTCATTGGAGTAGAAACACCATATGGAGCCACTACCTAAAATAAGAAATCATACTAACACTGTAATGTCATCTAACATTTACATAAGACCATTCACTCTGCAGAATCCCACAGCACCTGACAAATTATAACAGATACTTGCAATGGATTAAGGCACTATGTGGAGTAGGTAATGGTACTATGGCAGAATAAGGAAAAAAGATGTATACTGAGAGGAGAGAGAGCTTTGACAGGGCCACCCAGCGTTTCACCAAGGACAGTTATACTATACAGATTTTGGCATCTCAGATATTTTTGAAGAATTTCTTAAAATGAAAGCAAATGTGGTGAGATACAGCATTACCTGTATGATAATTCCCTTTGCTTTATATTCTGCTTGTAGTGCTTTGGAGAAAGTGCTTATAAAAGCCTAGAATAATAAAACAAAATAACATTTGCAGAGGAAACTAAGAAATTTCACATATGCTCACAAATATGTGCAAACAGCTTCTTAACAAGGATGGCTGTGATAGTTTTAAGCCCTGCCGGGACTGGAGACATGTTGCTGTTGTCCCACCCCCACTCTTGGACACAAGTAGGGCACAAACCCCAGGTTAAAATAAGAATAAATTTAATACAACAGTGTAATAAACAAGAACAACAACAATAGCAATAATAACAACAATAAACAGTAATAACAGTAAACAAGACAAAAGATATACAGAGAAATACTGCAATGGATACAGACAGCCCCATGCTCCCCACGACCAAAGCCACAAAGGCAAAAGCTTCCTGTGCTGCTGTGCCCGGACCTGATGCCAGCATGGTATGAATAACCCGTCTGGAGATCCCTTCCCCCTCTCTCTCTTAACCCTATCCTAGCTGAACCAGGACATAATCTACCCCTTTATTCTATACCATCTGAGTCATGTCCAGCTGCCATTTAGCAGTTAACAATAACAAAACAACAGTTAACAAAGGCACAGCATAATTCACGGTGTGTTCTCACCCAGAATCAAGTCCCCCTGTGGTACACATCGGACCTCTCCATTGTCCTGCATCACCCACCCGGTACACCCAGGTCCTTGAGCAAAAGCAATCCCGTGGATGGGTTTGCCTTTACCTTTGCCTGGTGCAGGACTAAACCAGACAACTTTTCCCAATATATTCCTCATGTGCACCACAGGGACTTTATCCCCAGCTACAGCCCGTGGAGGTTTTGACGGAGCCGGGCCAGCTCAACTGGCAGATCCTCTTGTGTTGACTAGCCAGGTGGCCTTTGCTAGATGCATGTCCCAGTCTTTGAAGGTGCCACCTCCCAGTGCTTTCAGTGTGGTTTTTAACAGTCCATTGTAGCGCTCAATCTTCCCAGAGGCTGGTGCATGGTAGGGGATATGGTAGACCCACTCGATGCCGTGTTCTTCTGCCCAGGCATTTATGAGGTTGTTTCAGAAGTAGGTCCCATTGTCTGACTCAATTCTCTCTGGGGCGCCGTGTCGCCACAGCACTTGGGTCTCAAGGCCCAGGATGGTGTTCCGGGCGGTGGCGTGGGGCGCTGGGTAAGTTTCCAGCCACCCAGTGGTTACTTCCACCATTGTGAGCATGTGGCGCTTCCTGTGGCGGGTCTGTGGCAGTGTGATGTAGTCGATCTGCCAGGCCTCTCCATATCTATATTTCAGCCATCACTCTCCATTTCGCTGGGGATTCACCCACTTGGCATGTTTGATTGCAGCACACGTCTCACATCTGTGGATAATCTCAGCAATGATGTCAATAGTGAGGTCCACCCCTCGATCTCGAGCCCACCTGTATGTTGCATCTCTACCTTGGTGGCCTGAGGTCTCATGGGCCCACCAGGCTATGAACAGTTCACCTTTGTGCTGCCAGTCCAAGTCCACCTGAGCCACTCTAATCTTATCAGCTTGGTCTGCCTGCTGGTTGTGTCGATGTTCATCAGTGGCCCGACTCTTGGGTACATGGGCACCCACATGGTGCACCTTCACAGCGAGGTTTTCCACTGGGGCTGCAATGTCCTGCCATACTTCAGCAGCCCAGACGGTTTTACCCTTATGTTGCCAGTTGCTCTGCTTCCATTGCTGCAACCATTTCCACAGGGTATTTGCCACCGCCCACGAGTCAGTGTAGAGGTAGAGCCTTGGCCACTTTTCCCGCTCAGCAATATCCAAAGCAAGCTGAATGGCTTTCACCTCTGCAAACTGGCTCGATTCACCCTGTCCCTCAGCAGCTTCAGTGACCCATTGTGTGGGATTCCACACAGCAGCCTTCCATTGTCGATGTTTTCCCACAAGGCGACAAGACCCATCAGTGAACAGGGCATATCGCTTCTCCTCATCCGGCAGCTCGTTATATGGTGGGGCATCCTTAGCACCTGTCACCTCTTGCTCTGGTGACATCCTAGAATCTTTGCTCTCTGGCCACTTCGTGATCACCTCTAGTATCCCTGGGTGGCTGGGGTTCCCTATTCGAGCCCGTTGTGTTATCAACACAACCCATTTACTCCACATGGCATCTGTTGCATGGTGTGTGGAGGACGCTTTTCCTTTGAACATCTACCCCAGCACCAGCAGTCGGGGTGCCAGGAGGAGCTGTGTTTCAGTGCCGACCACTTCTGAGGCAGCCCGAACTCCTTCGTACACTGCCAGTATCTCCTTCTCAGTTGGTGTGTAATTAGCTTCAGAGCCTTTGTATCCCCAGCTCCAAAAGCCTAGAGGTCGGCCTCGGGTTTCTCCAGGTGCTCTCTGCCAGAGGCTCCAGGTAGGGCCATTCTCCCCGGCTGCGGTGTAGAGCACGTTCTTAACCTCCTGCCCTTCCCGGACTGGCCCGAGGGCTACTGCTTGGGCAATCTCTCGTTTAATTTGTTCAAAGGATTGTTATTGCTCAGGGTCCCATTCAAAATCGTTCTTCTTATGGGTCACGTGGTAGAGAGGGCTCACAATCAGGCTGTAGTTCGGGATGTGCATCCTCCAGAACCCCACAGCGCCCAGGAAAGACTGAGTCTCCTTTTTAGAAGTTGGTGGAGCCATGGCTGTTATCTTGTTTATCACCTCCACTGGGATGTGGCAACACCCATCTTGCCATTTTATTCCTAGGAATTGAATTTCCCTTGCAGGCCCCTTAACTTTCTTTTGCTTAATGGCAAAGCCGGCCTTCAGGGGGATTTCAATTATCTTCTTCCCTTTCTCAAAGACTTCCTCGGCTGTGTCCCCCCATACAATGATGTCATCAATGTACTGCAGGTGTTCTGGAGCCCCACCTTTCTCCAGTGCCGTATGGACCAGTCCATGGCAAATGGTGGAGCTGTGGTTCCACCCGTGGGGCAATCAATTCCAGGTGTACTGGATGCCTCTCCAAGTGAACGCAACCTGTGGCCTGCACTCTGGCGCTATCGGAATGGAGAAGAACGCGTTAGCAATGTCAGTCATGGCGTACCACTTGGCTGCCTTCGACTCCAGTTCATACTGGAGCTCTAGCATGTCCGACACTGCAGCACTCATTGCTGGCATCACTTCATTCAGGCCACGGTAGTCCACAGTCAGCCTCCATTCGCCATTAGGCTTTCTCACTGGCCATACAGGACTGTTGAAGGGTGAGTGAGTTTGCTGATCGCCTTCTCGCTTTCTACCTGACGGATCAGCTGATGGATGGGGACCAGGGAATCTCGGTTGGTGCGGTACTGCCCCCACTGCACCGTCCTGGTAGCAATCGGCACTCGCTGCTCCTCAACCTTAAGCCGCCCCACCACTGAGGGATCCTCTGAGAGGCTGGGTAAGGTGGACAACTGTTCAACCTCCTCCAGGGCAGCTACACCAAAAGCCCACCGGTACCCTTTTGGGTCTTTGAATTACCCTCTCCTGAGATAGTCTGTGCCCAGGATGCACGGGGCATCTGGGCCAGTCACACTGCTTATGCCAGTCCTTCCCAGTCAGGCTCACTTCAGCTTCCAGTAGGGTCAGCTGTTGGGACCCCCCTGTCACTCTGGAGATGCAGATGGATTCAACCCCACTGTAGTTCAATGGCATCAGGGTGCACTGTGCGCCAGTGTCCACCAAAGCCTTGTACTCTTGTGGGTCTGATGTGCCAGGCCATCGGATCCACACTGTCCAGTAAATCCGATTATCCCTTTCCTCCACCTGGCTGGAGGCAGGGTCCCTCTAATTCTGCTCACCATCACTCACTTCTTGCAAGAATGATTTACTGGTTCCCTCAAGAGGGTCAGACATAAGGTTGGCCATTCTATTCTGCCTGGGGGATTTCTGACTGGACACTGGAGCTGCGCTCTTCTTGGAGGTCTCCCCTTTCGTGATGGTCTTCCCTTTTGGCTGCTCTACTCATGCAGCTAGGGCAGCAGTGGGCTGTCCATCCCACCTCCTCATGTTTTCTCCATGGTCAGGGAGGAAAAACCACAAGGTGCCTCGTGGTGTGTGCCTTCTGCTGCCTTTCTCTTGGGTGGGGAAATGTTTACTTCTAATGGCTGAGACATCAGCCCGTGAAGATGGAATGTAGGATGTGTCCTCTCCCACTTTCTGGACCCTCTGAGACAGTTCCTCCACAGCTGAGACCAGGGAATGTTGAGATGAAGGGAGATTTCCCTCATATTGCCGGAGCTTGCCAACCACTCCATCCACTGTTAGAGTGTGGGTGTCTGTCCACCAGGACACCATTGCCAATGCTTTCGAGTGTGCTTCTGGTGCGCTCTTCAGGAACTTTCGCCACATCAGGTGTGTGCAAGGGGCCTGGTATGGGTCCATGGGTGACTGCTCATCATTCAGGTCACCCTAGATCATATAAAACACAGCCAGTTCCCTGAGATTTTGAATGCCCTTCTCAATGTTGGTAAATTTGCTTAGCTGACTTAGGATACTATCCTTGTAGGGGTGCCTCTCCCTTACACTGAGCAGGTGTTGCCTCCAAAGGCTGAGGGTTTGAGTCTGTTTCCCTATTTCCCTATCAATGCCAGCATCCTTGGCCAAAGATCCCAGCTGCTCGGCCTGTCTTCCCTCCATTTCAAAAGCACGGGCTCCATTGTCCCAGCATCGAAGCAGCCAGGTGCCAATCTGCTCGCCTCCCAGGCGGCCGAAATCTCTCCGCATATCTCACAGCTCAGTCGGGGATAGAGATCAGACGATCACCTCTGGTTCTTCCTCCTGTTCCCGTGCTGGGCCTGGCTCATCCCCATCCCCCACTTTATGAGCTGACTTTCTGGTATATCTGGTTTTCTGTATCAGGGTGACTGACCCCGGCACTGGCTGGCTATCTGTCTCAGTCGCTGTGCTGGTGGAGGAGAATGATACTGGCTCTGCCTGTTCCCCCGGCCCAGATACTGTACCAGGAACTTCACTCTCAGGTTCTGTAGCCTTTTCTCCCCCTTGAGGGCAGTGGGTGGTATTAAAGAGGACACGGTAGGCATGGGCAAGTCCCCAACACATCGCTGCGAGTTTTGTCTCCTGGGTTTTGCCAGCTTGGTAACGCACCCTTTCTAAGCACTCCATCAGCTTATCGGGGCTCTGCATTTGTTCAGGAGTGAAATTCCAAAGCATTGGAGGTGCCACCGACTCAGGCCTTTGTCCATCTTTTCCCACACCCCTTGCCACTCACTGTTATCTGATCTCGGGGCAGGTTTCTGGGCACTGCTATTGTTAGAAAAGTGCCGCATGGCCAAAACCGAAATCAGGCAGACATTCAGAAAGCATTGTGCCACAGTCACACTGGCCTGCAGGCTCCAAGGATAATTGAAACTCTCAAAAACTGAGAGGATCTCTTCCCCTGTTTCACCCATATTGGGGGTGAGACCCCTAACAAAATCCCAGGCAGCAAACAGGTACCGCCTCCCCCCCACACACACCCCCCACCCCAGCGATACAAACACATTATAGTCAATAGCCAGTACATCAACATAAGACCCTTAATACATTTTCCACCAATAACAAACGCCACCACTGGGATCATATACTGGATATAAGGATTAATGCAGCCCCACCATGCAAGCAAGTGGGCCAGCATTGCAAACATTACAAATACAAACAGAAAAAAAATTGCACCCAACAGATTGCTCCAACACACTCTGGTCAGGGTCTGTCCCTTTTTGATTCTTATTTCAACCGTCTTGTGCCCCATGTTGGTGCGCCAAAAAGGCTGTGATGGTTTTAAGCCTTGCCGAGACCAGAGACCACGTTGCTGTTGTCCCTCCCCCACCCTCGGACACAAGTAGGTCACAAACCCTGGGTTAAAATAAGAAGAAATTTAATACAATAGTGTAATAAACAATCTGAACAACAACAATAGCGATAATAACAACATCAAACAGTAATAACAGTAAACAAGACAAAATACATACAGAGAAATATCGCAATGGACACAGACAGCCCGGTATGTGTGCTTCCTGTGACCAAAGCCACAAAGAAAAGAGCACCACGCCAGACCTGATGTCACCATGGTATGAATAACCCAGCTGGAGATCCCTTCCCCCTGCTGGGGAAACTTAACCCTGTCTTAGCTGAACCAGGACAACAGCCAAGCATCATACAAGTTAAGGCACAGTGCAGTGGTGAAAAACTTAAAAATGAACTTTTCAAGACAAAGTTTCTGCTGGTGCACATGAGTGATTGAAGATTGACTGTTTATCTGCACCAGAAAAGATGGAGCTTGGTGTTAGCCCAAGCCAGACATGAAACAAGTACTACTGCAGACTGGACTGAAAGCTTTGTCACATCTATGAAAATGCAGATATATAACTATCTGGAGTCCCATTTATACTAGCTATTGTTTCATGTGACTCTTATCTCTCGCTGATACCTACCCTCTCAGTTCAACACTTACACTGCTGTTTCTCTTTCAGTATAAAGGGGAGTGAAATACAACTCATGCGTTCAGTATATACCTATTAGCATAGTCTACAAATATGATTTTCAAAGTCAGGTATTCGGGAATCTGGGAAGGGTTGTAGCTTTAACGTTTATCTTTCTAAGTTTTTCTCCACACCATGAAGTGTATGCACATACAAACTTCTTTTTGTAGAAGTTGAGTTTCTTTTAAGACTGATTTTAGGAGTTAGATCTTCAAGAAAAATTCAGAAACTTGACAGTGAGTCCTCTCTAATTAGAAATATAAAAGTCCTACTAAGGAGAAAAAAATGACAGGGTTTCAAAGCCACCATTTCACAGGTCTCACAACTTAAAAACCAATAGTGTCATGATATTGCATGAAATATCAGTAGGCTGACAAGTAAAAAAGTTTCCTTTCATGGCATTGAAAAAAAGTCAATTTAAAATAAACAAAGGTAAAAGATACCCAAGAATGAAAAAAAGTCAAAATAATACAACCAGTGTACCATATCACTTTGAAATAATGTTAACTAAAATTTTTTAAGGAACTAAAATTGTCTGGTTTGAATGTAGTTCAAACTTTGAGTAATGAGAAACTTACATTGAAAAGAGCAAAAGGAAATGGAAAACCAGCATTTCTTACCAAGAATAACTAGCTTTTTCTTACCAAGCTGAATTTTAGCTATGTTCAAACAAATACTGTTAGAATTTTTCAGTTGAAGCAAACCTGAGCTGAGGCAAGTTGCTTCTGGAATTTCAGTAAAAATAATTCACTCCTCATTTTTACAAGCTCTGGGGTTTTAATTCAGAGCAAAATTTCAAACTCAAATCTATGAAGTCAGGCAACTCAACACCACCTACCAGGAGTTTTATTCTTGGTTTTGTAAGCAAAATCTAGCACTGTTGTGCATATACAGTTTTGAGTAAACTATTTAAGCCAGCCTGGTAAAAGTCATCACTTCCCAGCACGAGGACAGATTGGGAACAGTGGTATAATATTATTTAATCGAAGGCAAAAATATGCCAATGATCAGCCATACCTTCAGTTGGATTTCATTTACATAGTTTCACTGATTCTTAGTTCTCAGCTAGTGCTAATTTATATTAATTCATTGTTTAGGTGGAGCAACACTGATTTATGTCCTGGTAATCTGGCCCTGTATTGCTGATACAAACACATTGGTTAACACGCGATGGGGATTTCTTTATAAAGCAGTGTGAAAGACTTACCTTAGAAGCTGAGTACATTGTGTATAATGGACAAGGGAAAGTACCCAGACCAGAGGACAGATTCAGAATAAGACCTTTCTGTCTGAAATTTAATTTAAACAGTTACATTCAGTTTACTTTGACAGTACTATAGTAAAAGCCTGCACAAGTGGAAAACAACTTTTTTCCCCCAGAAGGCATAGCTCTCCTATTATACTGTAGACTACACTTTCAAAAGACCAATTTTTATGGTTTAGTTAGGTGCAATTAAGTCTAAAACAGCTAGGAATAATGTCATAAGTGAAATCTGAATGCTTAGTGGAATCAAAACCATGGGAACATTGTACCTACTATTGTACATCTAACAGAGCAAAAATGCCATCAGAGGAAAGATTTTATCCTTCTCAGTAATTGGTAGGTCTCCTTTGCTCATTAGCCAGCACATTCTTTTTCCTCCTCCTTGCACCTCTTTTTAGATTCCCTATTCACAACTCCCTGTACAAATCACTAAAACCAATTCTTTCAGCAAAAACCAGGAATAAGCCAAACCAAAATAATTAAACAGTAAGAGCTTATTTTGTTGCCAAAACAAAAAGCCTGCACTGGCCCCTAAAATGCAGTAGTTAACAATGTTTTCTAGAAACTACATCTGAAAACCTTAACTTCTGGTTTAAGGACCCTCATTCTAAAATACACATTGTATTAGGAGGAGAAAAGGAATCCCTAATTGTACAGCTGAATTAATCTCCCTGATGTAGTACAGAGCTTGAAAAGTATTTCCAGAGCTTGAAAAGTATTATTCCAAGCATAGCTACCACTCTTAGAAGAATACAACAATATATTCAAATCCTGTTTCTTGCCTAATTAGTCCCATCACATGTAATTTTTTTTCTGCAACACTTGCATGGTTTTACTGGAGACAGTCCTTTATTTCATATTTTCTGCCTTGTTCTACAGTTGACTTATAATTTGTGGCAGTTCCTATCATTCATTCACATAGCACTAACAGCAAAAGAAGGAATTTTACTGACTGACATACTGTAAAGTGCAGAAATTAATCATGAAAAAGCATAGTCAGCACTGAAGTAACAGCTAAAAGCTAGTGAAAATTCTAGAAAAAAAGATTTTACCTTGCCTCCATTTGTTTCAGAATTATTCTTGTCATCTGTAAGACAAGCATGTTAAGAATTATATCCATTCTCCCTCTTTCTGATCACATTTTTCAACTGATTTTGTTTTATTCACAAATCATCTGAATTGCCAAAAAATTCCAAAGGTTAGTCTTCCAAGCAGTGAAAGTCTTATGCTTATCCAAAGCTTTTCAACAGTATCTGAATTTCATCATTCTTCAATAGTTAATCAATAGTAAGAAGAAAGTCAACTTCGTAGTGTTTTAACATTTTTCTTCTGCCTGTACCTGGGCCAGAAATAGCAGAAAATCATGAACAGACAACTTTTTTCTGCTACCAAAAAAGAGCCTCAGGATCTTTTTTGATGCTTATTATTTAATAATCCATTCTTACTTTAACAGTAGACTTAATCACACTTATGATTTTTAAAGTGCAATTAAATCAATTTTTAGGTAATAAATCTGCTTCTGTTTTATTGATAGCAAGCCTAAGTCCCTAGGGAATTCATACTCATACTAATGACTCTTTATAAAAAAATACATATGTATGAATTTTCTCAGGATAAGAGTGTGATCTTACTCGCAAAGGGTAGTAATGAAAAGTAGTACAAACGAATGATGCAGCTTAATTTGATCCTTGTTAATTCCCTGTTGTTTCAGTACTGTCATTATGCACAACAGGATAGTAGGAGCAGGGTGGGGTTCACAAGGTCTGTTTTCAGAAAGGGTGACAATGCAGGTGGGTCACATCAGCTTGGGTGAAGGGTAATTTCCAAGTAAAGTGGAAAACACAGGCAAAAGTCCTGTTTTTACAGTGCTGAAAATCTCAGTGACATCTGTGGGAGCCAGGAATACTTGGAGTTCAGGCATTCCACTGCAAGAAGTGGTGAGCAGGATCCTAGCAGGAATCAAGATGGGGTGGGGGGCACGCAAACAGATTTGTTCCTAACCATGAGGAATGCTACTTAGGAGATTTCTTTACATTCTGAAAGAAAGTGAAAGCTTGTGAAAGACTGAAAAGGACATGGTTGCAGCACTAGGAGAAAGGAATCCCCAGGTCCTGGTGAAGCAGAAGTTGATTTTGAGGTATATTTGAGGTGGGAAATGATAAAGGGAGAAATGTTTGCCTGTTTTTGTGAGGCATATATATACCACTCAGATACTACAGATATTTCTGTTCTTTTGACATACAAATATAATAAAACCTAGGAGCAGAAAGTTCACCAAACTACTTCATGGAAGAATTTGTTTCAGTTGACTGATATTACATGATTTAGTTTCTGTCATTAAGCAGCAGTACAAATTTCGGATGTAAAGTTTGCTAGCAAAAGAAAGAGGAACATCTGTTGATAATTTTCAGGTCATGTTTAGAAAGATATTAGCCAAGGCTGAGATTTACTACAAAGCTCCTGTTCTGCTCTTGTTCATGTTAACATGCTGCTTGCAAACAGCAGAGTGATACAAATATTAATCAGAGGTGGAAAGCATGAAATACTGACTGTTCTTATAAGGGAAGTGGACAACCAAAATTAGCACCAAGAGGTTGCTTCTTAAGTCTCTGTCCTGCACTAATATAAAAATATTTTTGCAGAACAGAATCGTGACAAAAAATGCAAGTACAGTACAAAAATTTAGCCTGCAGGTCTTCCTGTCTTGAAGATTTTGATTCTGAAACAAATATCCCTGTTTACCAAAACAAACACGTTTTTGAAAAGTGTTTCAGCTGCAGTATAACGATGTGTCTCAACCGAGCAACTGTGTTAAAAGGCTTCCAGTCAGCTCTGATCAAAATATTTCATAGGCAGTAGAAACAGATGGGAGTCCTTAAAATAATGCTGATGTTCCTGCTGAAAATTACTATCTGCTGATACATTAAATGAAAATACACAGGGAAGCTAGCTGATCACTCTTGTGCAGTACTCATTTTTTCCAATAAAATACATCATACATGTAACATAGATGCAAGTGTTTACATACCTTTATAACAGAAATAACATTGCAGTTGACAAGGTTCTGCAGGAAGCAAGAAACCAGTAAGTTCACAGTTAACTTCAAAGAGTTTGTAGTTTATCTAGGTAACAAAGCTAGGAATTCCACCTGAAAAGCTTTCTAGCAAGGCAGTTGATTTTAGGGCTGCTTAGCTTGTCTTGAATTGTCACTGACTGTGCCTATGAGATAGGGATACTCAAAGGCAGGTAAGTCTTGATTCACTTTATTTTAAACATGGAGCTCAAATCTCCTTTGCATCCCTTTGATTCCAAGTCCTCCAGTTTGCCTAGTCAGGTATTTGCACATGGCAAAACCCAGAAACCTAGTGTCCAGGCAGAGACTGGCACCAGCAGATTGAGCTGGACGCATACAAACAACAAATTACAAGAGGGTCCGGGCAGAGACAGCGTGGCTCTCAGTGACAGAGATAGACTGTGCAGCAAAATCACTGCCACCTACAGATATATCCTCCCAAGACCAGCAAGCAAACAAGTCTAGTAGCAGCAGAGATGCCATCATACAGCTGCAGTGCTGAGAGAAGCAGCCTGCTTGGGGATCTCTGATTTGTAATAGGTGATGATATATAGACTGAAGGGATCCTGAGATAGGTGCTAGCAAGAAATACACTCAGAAATTCTGTTTTTTTCATGGATAATACTATAGAAGTACAACAATAGAGGTACAACAATAAGGCAGTGAAAAACTTGATCACATCTTTAATTCTGTCAAACTATACTATGTGTGTAAATGAATTCCCCCCCCCCCTTCCCCCAACTAAACTGTGTTTAATTTTACATAGTTAAGCAATGATGTTCCAAATAAGTAAGTTTTGATACTACTAACAAGAACCCAGCACTTCAGCTGTGGCTTTGACCAGGCTGGACTGCATTACATTACATACAGGTGAGGAGCAAGCCAGAAGGGTTGCTGATCCCTGCTATAGCTGACCAGCTCTCCCCTCTATCACTGGGTGCTTGCTGCAGTTTAGCTGAAATCTACTGTTCTTTTTCTCTTGCAAGCTCTTCTCAGTATTAAAAATATATCAAAATATGCTCCTTCAGGCCCAGTTCTTTTGCCACTCAACTGAACAGTTAAATACATGCTAATTGTAGCGGGGCCAGAATCTGTCCCTTGTTAAACAGAAATACAATTCTTTGTTGTTATATTTGAAGTAGAAATCCTACCTCATCTACATCTGGTCCATTAAGGAAACGGCATGGAAGAGGATTATGAAGCATTCCAACATTGTTAACTAATGAAAGAAGATACAATAATAAGAATTAAATCTAGGCAAAGTGCATAGTTTAGCTAGTTAAACAAATGGCTTCTCCTTGAGACCCAGAAGCTTTTGAGCTGTATGTGAAGAGAAATGCTGTTTAGCATCGGGTCTTGTTCTCACTGAAGTCATCAACACTGATCAGCGCTGACTTCAGGGAGCAGAAAAACAGCCTGTTGGTACAGTTTGGGGGATTGTTTGTTTGTTTGTGTTGTTGTTTCGTTTGTTTCACTATTAGAAAGGATTATTTTCTTTTAAAAAAAGCCCGTATTTTCCTTGTTGCTGTGTGGATTGCACTGATTAGTGTTAGCCACAGGCTCATTTCAGATTGAATATAAGAACTGCACACAGCTGTAAAACGACTGATACTGAAAATTAATTCCTTGAGGCCAAAGAGGGAGGAAGTCACCCCACATGCTGGATACTGTTTATAAAGCACCAGAAGAGGTTTCACAGTAAAGAAGCCACTGTACAGAAAAACAGGAAGCCTTTGGAGAATACTAATTCACTTAAAACTTGTTCGTAAGTAGTGCTCAGCTGCATTAGACAGCTGTATCCTTGGTTTTAAGTGTTGGCTAATAACCTGTTGTGACATTATTTATGCACTTCTCTGTTTAATACACTGCAGCCATAAAATACTCTTTGATTAAGACCTTGATGACTCACCCAGGACACCAATATCCAAACCTTGCAGACTTTTTTCAATGTTCTCATATACTGTATTTTTGGTGAAATCGGCTTGTATAACCTTCACCTTCTGACCTGTGGTCTGCTCTGTAATTAAGAAAAAAAAAAAAAAGAAAACCCCTTCACATCTACCCAGAGAGAGGGAGAGCTGTAATTAAGTAAGGACAGAAACAATCAGATGTCTCATTTAGTAATGCCTGCTGTACAGTAAACAATTGTTTCAACTTTCTTGATTTAATAAATATTACAACAAAAGCAAAACACTCTCACTGTATCCAGTTGTTTTTCAGGGGAATGGCCTGGCAAATATAAGACTAATTTATGCCCTGAAATCAGCAGAAGTTCCCCCACAAAATCTAAACATGACTTGGTCCTTCAGTAGGAAAAAAACCCAAACCAACACCAGGACTTCTTCCCCTGGTTATCATAATATTTACAAATGAACACTGTTAGCATATGTTAGAGAAGCGAATGTGGGTGCCAGATCTTCTACATAAGCACAGTTTTACAGAATGTTTTAAAAGTGTTTTCATATGTAAGATGAACACTTTAACAAGCAGAGCTTATCTTTTTACATAGAGGGAGGGGAAAACAGTGCTAGATGTGATGTAGTATTTTGTGTCTTATTTTCAAACAATTCCTCTCCTGTTTTGGCATTTGGATTTCTGTAGATTGAACCTTCCTCAGGATTTTGCAGGACTAAAAGGCATTTTAAGGAGGATATAGCTTAAATTAAACAACTCAGTTCAAGTTTTTAATTTTCATAAATTAATTTACAAGTCAATTTACACAGAAGGGAAAGTGAAAGTGAAATGTGTGTGATTTTTCCAGTGTCATTGCTATGCAGGAGTAGAGCCCAGCTGTACATTACCATTTTTCTCAGCAGTTGATTTATTGCTGTTCATATTTTCAGTGAAGTTCCATGAGGAAAAGAGGTAGAGGCTCTTATTTACTCATTTTTAAAGGCAAGGTTCTCCTTTAAAGGGGCCTAGTAAGGTCTCTTCTAACTAGATGATCATATTGTACATTCTTGCTACTAAACCTTTGAAGTTTTATAGGCCACCTGAAATTCAGATGGATTTTGCTGAGAAAGTGACAGGCAAAGCTTGGAAATGTCAATAGATGATTGGATTGCAGACTTGCTGCAAGTGGCAGGAATTCAGGTGCATGCGGATGGCAGAAAGTCTGCTTTGGGTCCTGTTTGGAAAACTGTCTGCTTGTTTGGAGCCTGATTTTATCATACTGGGAACAGAGAGCATTGCCTTGAATAGGAATCAGACTTGCTGAGTTCTACCCAGAAATCTTGCCTCATGCCTTGGTGTACATTCAGAACTTAGGAAGAGGCCTTGCACCAGCTCCTGCGGGAGAGCGAGGCTGGCAGAAAGCTGTCTTTGGGTCCCACAGGTCAGTTCGCAACAAAATAAAGCCTCTGTTGGAGGATGAGAAAAAGTTGTTCCCTCCTGATTGTTCCTCCTTGCCCCTTGATATACTGCAAGTCTCAACCACCTTACACTACTCAAGTAATGACAGCAGTCTGAGGAAACAGCAGACACCCTGATTCCAGACCTGAAATGCAGGCTCTGTCTTGTGTGCAATTTTAGAGGACATCTGTTTCCATGACAGAATAAAGGAGGGAGTGCCCTTTTTCTTGCCCTCTTTCTTAGCTGCAGTTGTGTGTATGAAAGGGACAAAAACACCCTTTGAACCTTCAACCTATAAAAGCAACTCTAGTGGCAAATGACCCCCTCATGGTCTCAGGGTGGGGGAATGGTACAGCTATAAAGAAAAGGACATTGTGAGTGTAAATGCAGTGACTGGGAGAGAACAGAGCAACATCTGGAGCAGACACCTATAGCAACCTTCTGACTGAAGAGTTCTATAACAAAATTAGATGGTCTTAAAAAGTGTGGTGATACTGTGGACATCTTTCTTGTGGGCAATCAGAAGGGCAGCCAAACTAGAGCAACATAAAAATGAGGATCAGACAAACCATTTGGACTTTCTCTGCATCTCCCTGTCTGTACTGCTGCAATCAGCACTGTCAGCCAGCAAACAGGTACTCCAGATGGCTTTCCTGTCTCATTTAAGAATAAAACAATATATTAAAACCCAATAAAACTATCATGCTGATAAATGAATTATCCAGGGATAGCTCTTCAGAAAATGATAAAAATTCTGCAAAGGAGAGAGCCAAAAAACAATTTCCAATGTTTCTTATGTGTCTCTCTGTGACAAAGATTTATAACAGTCTTTGAATACACAAGCCATTCCAACTCTTTTCAAAAGTCCTAAGCACGTGAGAAGCAAGCCTGGGTTTTCAAACATCAGGGAAGGTTATTGTCTTTTTAAAAAATGAAGAGAAAACTAATTTATGAAAATTAAAAACTTGAACTGAGTTGTTTGATGTGTTATAAAATGTATCATTAAGAAGAATATGTCTAACTCCTGACCTCAGACCATTTGGGAATCCCACTTGTCAGACAAGACAACATGTTACCTTTTGAAATTTACCAGGAAGAAAACAGGATGAAGTTAGAAGTTAGTTAGGACCTGCAGTCTGACAGAAACTTTCCATTTCTACTTAGAGTTATGAAGATCTTCTGAAAAGCTGAGGTAGTAAAATGAATGCCTAAGTGACACACAGAAAGAGGAGAGCCTTTTGAAGTGCTACAGCAAAATTTGAATACGAAGAGAGAAGCACTCAGGCTAAGAGGGGGCATTCATATTCAGTGGAAATTTGCAGAGGAGTGCAAAATGAGAAGTTATTTTAACAACAGAAAGAGGTTAAAAAAAAAGATTTAAGACTGGGGAGAAATATAAAATGTTGTGTCAGATTATAAAGCACAAGTTTTGGCTATGTTTCAAAAGCCTTTTGGAGAAATGCATCTCCTCAGAAACAAGATAACTCAGGTTTAGAAATAACGGGAAAATAGAGACAAAAAAGATGAGGGTAAAAGCAAAACTTCAAAAGATGATTGAAGATACAAGAGAACACAAACTCCGTGAAAAACAACCAATCCAAACCAAGACAAAACAAACTATACAAAACAAAACTGAAAACAAACCACGGGAATTACTAGTAGTTACCAGAGCACTCAGAAAATTGGTTCAAGGCCCTCAAGTGCTCTGTTATGTAAAGTACATATTGGGAAAACAGTCCTGAGCAATAACATTTACCTCAAGGGACCAGCAAGAGGCATTCTTAAGAGTCTTTGAGGACAAGGGAATGATGTGTCAAGTGAGTTGTTTTATGCTAGTCAGTGATGTCAGCTAGTTACCTGCTTAGCTCTTGGAGCAGGAAGGACAAGAGGCAGAGGACACAGTACAGCAGATTGGTAACTCAACCTGTAGCAAGGGGGACAGCTAAATGAACTAGCACCTTCACAGGTCTTCGTGGGAGCAAGGCACATTTGGTTCTCAATGATATGGAGTGATTTTTTTATTCACTGCTTTATTCTGTATTAACAGGCATAATTTCAGGAGTGAGAGGTGGATAGACTACTTCCTGCAACACCAAACCCAAATTCACTAACCGCATGCACAGCTAGTCTAAACTGGTACACCTGTATCTTTCCTCAAGTGCAGATTTAAGGAAAACAAAACAAAACAAAACCAACTTCCCCAAAACCCCAACAACCAAATCCCAAAAACACTAACCACTTTTGTTGTGAATAATTTTTATGTCTTACAAAAGCTGCTTTTGTTTGTTAGTTTGGCATTAACAGCCAAACATTATAGATCCTGGTCATATAAATAGATCCTAACATAACTTTTCAATCAAGACCTAGCTCTGCCTGTACAGCTTGTTTAGGAAATGTAGGCAAAAGAAATAAAAAAGGAGTGCAATTAATAGCATTACATCATTTCTAATGCCCTGGTTTTATAGTCTGATCAATGTTTCACAACTACAGTACTAAATGTGTTAAATGAGCAGTATACCTGGCATAATGGTCCTCTCCCATCTGACCTCCACAAGACTTATTTTGTTATCTTTTATCTCATTCTAAAAGAGCTTTCCAGTCTGAGTGGCTGGAAATCTGGTTTTCAATTGCAGTGCTTCTTTAGAGAAATGTTTTTCTTACTGCAGATTTCTGCCTGCTCCAGCTCTGAGAGCTGTTCTCAGGCACACCAGTAGCCCCCAAGAGTTGGAAAGCCAAACACTGAGATCTCTGAAATTACCCTTACTTTAGACTCTTTTAATTCATATTATTCAGTATCCAAACTGATTAGGCAAATAATATAATCAGATTGAAAAGGGGGGCAAGTCTTTTAATTATGGTGTCCAACTGATTGCAAAAAGATACATGGTGTAGCTGTTAAGAAAAAGGAAACAAGTAATGTGTCCAGTTCTGCAACAAATTTACATAGCCTACATTTTTTTTTTGTCTATCTCTCTGTGCCTTAATCTCCTTGCACGTTAGTTCATGGTAATAATAGCCACTTCAAGTGAGATACTGCTTGTGTAAACAGTTTAGAAAGAAAAAGTCAGTGAGAATTAGAAAATTTAGAAAACAGTACAATCATTCTGGTTAAGCTTCTGATTCATTTTTGGGTTTCTGTTGTTTATTTACTCACACAACATCAGAGTAAGTTTAACTTTTCTTCCTTCCCAGTGACTGCTTAGCTTAATTACAGCAAAGCCTGAGTCTGAAAACTGGAATCAATGAAACATTTCCAAAGTTTTAACATAAGCCCACATTCAGAGCTCCCTGCTGATTTTAGTGGCCTCCAGGTCAGAAACTCTATGCTTTTCATCACTGTGTCTTCCTCTCTTTCCTGTTGTTTGTGCCATCTACTTGTTGCTATGTACTCACTTCTAACCTGACACAATAAATAACAGATAAATCATTCTGGGCTTCAGCCAAAACCCACTGAAAACAATGGAAAGATCTCACTGGGAATTGCCACCAATTTCAGCAAGCTTTGAGGAGGACTCTTTATGTCCACAACCCAGCTGAACATAGTGTGGAAAACTGATCAGTGTAGCCTGAGCTCCTGGGGTCACACCATCCACGTCCCCACACCTTGGATTACATGGATAACACTGCTGCTGTCAATGAAGCTTCCATAGCATGAAAAGTCACAGGTCACTTTTGCACAAGGCACAGGAATGTTTGCAGGGTAGGCTATCTCAGCTGTACCTTTCAGGACATGGCAAGTCCTACATTACCCACTGTTACACAATTCAGCACAGTATGGCCTCAAGTTAGGAAGGTGGCCAGTGGCTGGCCTTATAATAAATCATAGTGCAGAGGAATTTACACTGTATCATCTCTCCAGACCTGCATGACTTTTTTTCCTTTACTTAGCTATGTTAGTCTCAGGAATCTTATTCTTTGCTTATGATTATAATTTACAATGCAAAGAAACGATAAAAACTCTTTAGCCTTTTTTTTTTTTTTCTTCAGGTTTCCATTATTGTAATTCTTTAACATTTAGCTGCAAAGAAATACAACAATGACACCAGAGCTGACCTAATTCCCATAGAAATTTTTTTTATGGTGTTTACTTAAGAGGGGCTAGTGTAGGCTGTAGTCATATTGGGTCTCGCAGATACAACTGCTTATAGAGTTTATTCAGGGAGTTGGTGATTTCCTCCTCTGATATCCCTTGCTTCCCAAAGGAAAACAAGTCTGTATCTGGAAAAAAAAAAAAAAAAAGGAGGAAAATTGGGCAGAAAATTTTAGGGTCCAATCCTTGATTTTAGTAGGTGAAGGTTCAGAAATTACAGACTTTTTCAGGCACTTCAAGTCTGCCATATCCCTGAGAGATGCACTGCTCTCTCTGCAGCTAAGTATCCTGGACCTGATACCCTGTTGGAGTCAGCTGCTAAGCCTGCTTGAAGGCAGGTCTTTCTGACAGAGGTGTAGTCTTGGAGCAACATATCCTTAACACAAGAACCTGTGAATCCAGGAATCAGGTGAACAGAAACCATGTGTAGGAAAATAGACAGTGGGAAGAATAACCTTGATTACAGCAATATTTGAAGTTAATGGAGGCTATAAACTGATTTGACTCCTAAAGAAATCTTTAATCTATTTATCTTAATGTATTTAAACAATCCATTCCCCTCAGGGTAGATGGCTAATTTCCTTTGAAGAAAAGAAACAGAACATTAATTCTAAGACAAGCTATTTGACTGCCTTATCAAAAGCCAAATGTAACTTGAAAACCTTAAAAAACCAACCAAACAACGAAACCAAATGAACCAGGTACCTTGACTTAATTTTTGCTCCTCCTTTGCTGTGTTCCAAGAACTGACCTAAAGGTAATCTTGCTTTCTTAAGCATAAACTGTTTCATAGATCCTTCTGACAACTCTAATAATGACATCTCCTTTGCCTGTATTTACAGATTATAAAGGCAGATGAAGCCTGTAAAGAATCCACATTCACTTTTTTTATCAAAACCATTGTGCTGTTTTATCAAACCCATTGTGCTGCTAAAGAGGAAGATAAGTTTGAGACAAACACTTACCAACTTCGGAGGCTACTCTCTGCAGTTTATCAAGAGTTCTGCTTATCATAACTATATTTAATCCACGTTTTGCCAGCTACAAGAGAGGAATATAAAAGTTGTTAGGAAACAGTAAGGTGACAGAAATCTTTCAATTTTTTCCTGTTTTGCGATAAAAGCAATCATGGATTTTTAAAATTGCTTTCATTTACCTGTCACCTGCCTAATGGGTAAACAACAGATATTACAACCAGGCCAAACAAAAATCAGACTTCTAATAGTCTTCTAAAACATCTCCTTTACTGTAAAATCTTGGACTCTTACAAGAAAAATATACTGGACAACAACCACACCTCAATAATATGAGCAAAAATAAATAATCAGAGTCAAATTCAAATTAATAAAAGCCTGCAGGTAGTGGAAGCAACACGACAATTCTCAGAAATACATTTTTATTTCTACTTGGATTTGGGAGGCCAAATATGTTGATGACTTCCTAGTTATTTTACAACACCACCTTCCACTCTCACTTTTTTAAAATCTTGACATTATTCATATTTTTTTAATAGAAATAAAATCCGTTACAGGTCGGTGGATATATTGTAACTGTTTTTTTCATTACATGAAACTAAAAAAAACCAAAAAAACACCAAAACAAAAAACAAAACAAACAAACAAACAAAAAAAACACAAGGAAAAAAGGTAAAGTCCATATGTAAAACCTCAAAATATAGCCACAAAAGATACTTCTGGAAAGGTGTTAGCAAAAGTTTATAGCTGTGAACACTACTTAACACAGCAGTCCATTTATAGTCCATTTGGTGTTACCATATGCAGAACAAATGCAGAACAAATAGACAATGGTTTTCTCATGTCCTTCTGAGGCCTCCCAATCCCATCAGTTCGTCAGCAAAGACTGAGAGAGAAATATGTCCCAAGCTTTTGAAATGAAGTTATTAACAAGTGGAAACTGAACTGAGTTGTGTGCACAGAGAATGGAAAGATAAAGTTGAAACTAGTAAAATGCCTGTCAGAGCAAGGAGAAAGAGAGCTAAATTGGTCAGCACAAAAGATAAAACCAGTATATTCTGAAAGTACCAGGTTTGCTTAGAAGAAACTAAGTGGCAAAGGCCACACACTGACGACCCATTCATCCCCACAGTTGACTCCCTGCAACATTTGCTCCTTAAATCTATTTAAGGGAAACTGTTTGTCTTGTTGCGCTCTTCTGAAACAATGTAGAGAATGTTAAAGGACCTTTGTTGAAAGTTCTGCTACATCAAGAGTACAAGGGGCAGACTGTCTATTAAATGCACCAGCCACAACTATTTGCATTTTCAGAAAAAAAAACAAAACACATGCTCACAATTCTGTGCTTTTGGAGACCCTCTAACACAATTGACTGGTGCTCCAAAGAGATCTGCAGAGACTTAGATGCTCAGGAGTTTTGAAAGATTGTTTTAAGGGTTCCTTCTGAAGTTCTCAGGAAGAGAACTCTAATTGCCTACATACTTTGTCCACAATGAGCTTGACTCAAGATGTTTCTGAGAGGTGGTCGCCGTCCATCTGCCATTTGGGGGTGTTTCAGTGGGGATTATTTTAATTTTTGTGCCTTCAGACCCAAGACCAAATATCAGCCATGTCATATACAAAATAAAAACAAAATTCTGCTTCACTGGGCTTCTCAATATCATCTCAGCTTGTCTCTGTATTTTGTTTGTAGAAAAATCCCCCCTAAAACCTAAGTAAAAAATTATTCCTCTTGCTAAGATTACATTGTATTTCAGCTAAAAGCATGTTTGAGGCAATCTCATAAAATTGTTAACTGTCAGGTGAGATACTTCCCCGCTGGTGTATACCAGACTAACTGAAGCATAAGGCTGTAGCAGCCATAGCATCCATTTCTTAAGGCAAAAGAGGCTACACACTTGACTACTCTTTTTTGTTTCCTCACCCACATAGAAAATGTGCATCCTTTTCAGAAATAGGTTTCTCAGGATATTGTAACTACCATGAGATTCAAACGCATCCTGAAGTAAACAAAAAGAACTGTGTTAAGAAAATAATTTCCTGGCCATCCACAGGAAAGGTTAAAACAGGTTTAACATTATCACATTTCAAATAAAGGTAACTTTTAGCATAGATGTTTGCAGCACAAAGCATCTTCTGAACACAGCAAGGTTTTTACGTTAGAGGATGGTATTTTCCCCCACAGTTAAGAATAAGCACTGGCTCCCTGCCCTGTGTAACGTGAACCTGCTTCGGTTAGGAAATCCTGACTCCCAGCGGCAAAGAATTAAACTGCTCCTGAACCTCGGTCTGCCAAAATGCAAGATCGTTATTACTGACTCCAGCCATAATGAATTATGACAAATTAGAAAAGGGCCTAATAATGAAGAAGGATCAAGCAGGATGTGCACTCTGGAATCTCACAAACTCATGGTTAAAAAGTTTAAATCTACATTAAATTAGTAAAGTCACTCTGCATTTTCTATCAGTTTTTGCAGCTCAGTCTAGGAACATAAAGCTTCACGAAAGGCAAGACACAGGTTTTAGATTGAAACCATGCATGTAACTACTACAGTTACCCTGAAAAATTGGTTATTCTCTACATGGATCAATAGATGTAATCACTTAAAAGTCTCTAATAATGCTTTATGGAATTTGTAGCTGCCTACCATAAATTTCTACCTATTACAAAAGAGATTCTTCTCTCTTCTCCAGGGTTGTGCTGATATGGTCTCAGTGCTTCACCCCTTTTCTTTCCTTGCCTAGGGTTCAGACCTGTATTATTCAAATCTTTGAACACTTTTTAGTCCAGCAGACCAAGATTGAAACAAGAGGGCAGAAGGATTCTGCAAACTTTCTGCTGGCTCTGCACCTGTGCAACAAGTAGAATAGCAGTACTTCCAGGAATAAATCCAAGACCAAGCAGAGAAATTAGAATAAATTTGCAACTAGGGCAGGAAAACTCAGATTATATTTAGCTTGTATTACACTGCTGGTAATACTATGCACAATTTCAGGAAATGAAACAAAGGTTTAAGATTCGAGAAGATGATGTACAAATGAATGTAGTGCGTGTCTCAAAACGGTCAGCTAAAACATTGATTAAACACAAGCATTGGCCTGACTTATAAGAAAGTTATGAACTATTAACAATAACAAAAATGGTGACCATGTGAGCCACCAACATCCTGCTTGTGCCCTGACATCAGATGAGAAGTGTGCAGAGGTTAAACCACAAATCTCAGAGTATGGCATGGCCTTATCCATAAACCCAGTATGTTTGAGGTGCTAAGTCAGTAATGGATGTTCATAACACCACAGCATCCTATGCCAGAAGAACATCAGAGAATTTTGTACCCTGACATCAGACCAGCAAGACAGCAGTGCCAAGCCAGAAACTCCAAAGGCACACAGATATTAAAACAGCAGGGTCAGATTTATTTATCCACAAGCCACACACAAGTGTGTGCTTCAACCCCAGCCAGCAAGATGATATGCCAAGCTATGAGCTCATAGTGGTGTGGGCTCAGGATCTGCCCCACAGAGCAGTAGCTGAGCACAGCTTCAATCAAAGGGACCACCTGGGGAGGAAGGTACATCTCAGCATGGATAAAGATGACTCTCAGTCATCCCACAAAAGCCAAACATAATCAACAAATGTTCCTCAAAGTTTAGCCAGTTCCAGCCAAGTTCTGTTGGTTTTTGTTTTTTGTTTTTGTTTTTGTTTGTTTGGTTGGTTGGTTGGTTTTGTTTTTTTTAAAAGCACAGTAGTTTTATTTTTTCTCATGGTATAAAGCAGCCATTTGCATTCTATGGCTGACCTTTTAGATGAGATTTACTCTTGCATAACTCACATAGCACAAAGAAAGCAGAACAATGACAAAGGCTCTGATCTAGCATTTCACAGGTTCCTGAAGCCATTGCATAGATAAAATATCACCAGGTGCTCATACACAAAGTTAGTTCAGCAAGCTGCATGTACAGGTGACTACACCCAGAGGCATGGTGTTAAATAAATGTTTAAGTATTTTTGACAGTTTCTCTCCCTGTCTGGATTCCATCCCATTCCCCTCAACCTATGTATCATCAGACCCTTCCCATTTGCACATCACTACAGCAATTCAGTGAGTGGACAGAAGGCAACATTTTTCCCTTCTCTCCCACAGAAGAACTTATGATCTTTATCACAACTATGCCAAATGTTAAACTGTGATACCTGGTATTTGTCTTTGTGCTTCCTACATTCAATGCACTTTCAAAAGTAGTTACTGTACTGCCATTCCCAGTAATGAAAATTATAAGGTAGGTGCTTAAACAATGCATTCACTTTAAAAGACCATCTTAAAAATCCTGTAAATTAATTCAAAAGTCAATTGATTTTCCTTTCCTGTGAGATATATTTTATAATTTATGAGCAGAAGGCATCACATCTAAACTCTTGCATATTATGGGCTGCTAATTTTCACCTCTGCTCTGAAGACAACTCATGTTTCATTGCTGTTAAACTTCTAGAAAAGGGGTGAGTTTCAAATGAAGACACCAAAGAAACAGTCTACTGTTCAATTACTATCGCTAATAGCAAGGCTGGTACAAGGCCACCCTGCTTTCAGTGTTGATTAACATAGGTAAATAGAAAGGGACTGCTGTAACTACAGGGACAGCTCAGAGCTCTTCTCTCTTTCTGCAGCCTCCTAGAGCTACTGATTCTTAATTAAACGATTAGGTTTCCTTATAATTTCCATAACTTCTAGTTTATATTAATTTATACAGATTTTGCCTACAGATTTGTTGTTTCAGCTATACCTTTCAAAATGTGTTTGCAAGCGTAAAAGCTAGAAAATTACATTTTGTATGTTAATGCTAGACCACCCCACTGACAGTTAAAAAGCAGATTAGCTTCAGAACCGGGGGAAAAAAAAAAAAAAAAAAAAAGACAATTCAGGAGACTTCCTACCCTGGACAATGTGAAATCTTTTGGATTACTCATTTTATTTCCCTGGTCTGACAAGACCATTGAGGCATGAATGATGTTCCTCTGAAATGCAGCACCAGTTACCTTTCAGAACTCAATTAATGCTATTCTGCACATACAGGGGAGAGGGATTAACACCATGTTTGTCACAGTGGCTTTGAATCCTAGAATAATTTTACTAACTTGCACAGACTAATGAAGGGGTAGCAATTGCTATTTTGTTAAAATAAACAAGGGTAAATAATCTATCTTACCTCAAAGGAATATGCTTTTCCAAGCCCATCTCCTGCTCCTGTGACCACTGGAGAAAGTAAAAAGTATAAAGATTACATTTGGAGCTCCGTTTTATTTTTTTTTTTTCTTCAGTTCTTTGTGTTTGAACACTGCAACATAAATGCTTCTACTGAAGCACAGAATCTTTTTTAAAATTTATTTTCTTGTGATCTTCTTATCTTTTTGTACTTCATTCAGCACTTTTTGTCTTCAAAGCAAATCCCCCACCCCAGTAACCTATCTGATGCAATAGGTAGTTACTACTCTAAATTTCATGCATTCAATAACAAGCAACAAGTCAATTGCCTAAGAGGTGATAGAATTTTCTTCCATATACACATTTTTGCAAGTTCTGCTTTGCAAATTTTACACTTATATGCTGGTGGCAGAATGGTAGCAGATAAGGACAACTGGTAACTGAAGCTGATATCACACTATCTCACACAAGACATCTGCCTGTAAACATCACAGCAAATTTACCACCATCTACAAAATGCTCTTCCTTCAGAGTTGTACTACTCAGTCTGCCTTTAGATTTAGTGTTACTGGGAAAGTAAACAAGCTTTGGCATTTGTAAAGCACCTTGAACTTTAAATGTCACACAAACAAATATCACAGAGAAATTACAGAAAGAAAATCCTTATCACCTTAGACATAAAGTAGGAAAGCACCAAAGCTTTCATGTTTCAGAAGAAAATGGAAAATTCGTCAATATCAAAAACATTTGGATTAAGGACTTCTAAATTGCAAGAGACACTGGGGAAGCCAGATGATTTTGGATGATTGTGTTTGTTGCCAACAGAAGAGCAATTACTCTCATTTCACAGAGAAAGAGAGCACTCAATGAAGCATCAGTGGATCCTTAGCTTCCTAGCAGATCTGCAGATGAAAAGCAAGAGTCTGCTGGGAAACAAGCTTCCACCTGCCGCCTTTAATTTTTATTATTCTCAAGATCTCATGTGCCACATGATACAACAAATCATACAAGCCTTATGAATTTTACTGGGCCCAGAAGACTTTATGTTTATAAAAAGGACAGAACATAAAGGGTCCACTAAAGCAAACACCTCTCCCAACCTTCAGTGGAAACAAGGATTTTACACAGGAAGTTACATATGCTGCTCCTCATCTCACACACAGAACAGGGGTATTTGCCTCACTTAAATCAAAACAAGACCTACATATTGCTTGAGAGGCAGCGGTATTCAGGCACGTCTTCTGCACAGAGGTGGATTTCATTTCTTATTAATCCACTGTAATATGTGCTTATTAAACACGTATTCAACCCAGTTACATCAAGTCTCTAATGCAGGGGAAAGGAAAGAAGCACAAGCATACTGTTTGGGTGACTTCTTAACAAGATGAAACCATCAATCTGTAGCTCAGGAACTCAACAACTGTCGTATCTGTTTATTCTTGCCTCATAGTGATAATTTAACAACCTTAAAAACATCAATGATCAGTAGAAAGACGAAGGTCTTTATTAAACATTTCTGTTACTTTATGAGAAAGTGTAGTATCTTTTAAAAAGGACTGCCAAGTTGCAGCCTTTGAAGTTTTTAGGCTAGAGTAGATTTGGCTTGTTAACGATGCCAATAAGGCTAGGTCACCAATGTGGAAAAAACACAAGCAAAATCACTGGGAACAAAAGTTGCTTTGAAAAGTGAAGAACATATGCTAGACATAAACTATTTGCTTCACATATCAGGAAACAGGGCATAGGCAATGCTCTTTAAACTATTTGCAGTAGAGAAAAAAAATCCAACTTAGAAATTGTGAGAGAATTCACATCTACACACCAGGTGTGTGAGCTGTTACCAGTTTGACTATTTTTCTGTTCTCCCCAAATACACAAAACCTTCAGACTCATAAGCCCAAAGTTACTAGAGAAAACAAAAATTAATTAAGCAAACTACACCTAGTGGAAACTGTGTTTTGTTCTGAAAGGACAGGGTAAGGAAATGCAAGGAAAAAACACTTCTGATCAGTAATGTAACAAGCCACCAGCTACAAGAAGGTGAAGAAGTTTCCTTTACCTGCCCATTCTCCCAGCGACCGAAAGAAAGTCTGAGGCAAAGCACTCCAGATACGTGGGAAAATATATTTCATAAATCTGATGCATTTTACCAGAATGCAGAAACAGATCAGACCCCCAAGAAGAGTGAGTAGCTGATGCTGGAACGCTTCCATGGTAAGCGAAGGCAGTGAGCTAGCATGAATTAGTTGCTCTCACCCTGTGAAATGCCTCTTTCTAGCATGCTGCTACTCTCTGATCACTGGCAGAGAAATGACTCTAACCAAATCACGTGATTTTCTTTCCCCATGGAATGTCCACAGCTTAGATTAGAATAACTTCTCTACGTTACACCCAGATTTGTAAACTACTGAAAAAATCCAAACTAAACTGATTTCTGATGCTTGCTTTAGAGGAAAGGTTTCACTCCTTTTTTGGAAACTACTCAAAAACAAAAAGAGGAAAAATAATTTTATTGTCATTGTTCAGGATTCAGAGAGACTGAAGATGGGTCTAAACCAAATCCCTGCGTAAGAATACTCCAAACCTTGGGGATAACACATATCAGTACTACTTCTTACAGCAGAGAGTTAAACTCTAGCCCACATATTTCCAAGGCAAGTTCACACTGAAAGCAGAAAAATAGATTTATCTACCAACTCAAAGACAAAATAATAAAAGATTGCTAAAGATAACCTAATTCTTTCTATACGAGAAAGCAGTATTATATAACTTTTCACAGAGCTTTCTAGAAAGAGTTTAGTATCATTATGACCATTTTACAAATGGTGCAATTATGGCATGAACAAGTATAGTAATCTATCAACAAGGGAATAGGACTTTCAGCTTTTCTGAGCTAAGTATGTTTGAACATAGTATTAAAAATTGAGGACATGTATCAAAACCTTAAGTGGAAAAAATGCTTACAAGAACAGTATCTCACTGCAAGACAGAGATGAAACTGATGAAATTCAGACTTCCAGTGATTAAAAAAATTTTAAAAGTTACCATATGGAATTTCTTAGGGAAGACACAGAAGCAACCTTTACTCTTCTTTGTAGTGGTAACTTGAAACATTATCCATTTTCCAAAGATGAGTTTAAAGTGGAGAAGAGAAACACTGATGCTTACACTTGCACTTAGGATAAGGTAAACTAAAATTCTTCTGTTACTTTAATGATATTCTTCCACTTTTAACATGAGTCATCTCTAAGACTCCGACACCCAGAAATCTCCAACTGAAGAGGTGCAATGTGTCAAGTCATTGACATATTGACATTAGACACCTTCAGCCAGAAAACTACAGTATGTGCATGCATTACAGAATAAAGATGTCTGAATCACAAGAAATGTAACACTAATTTACCTGTAACAAGATATAAAAATCATTACCATCCTAGCTTAACCACCCAATTTCCTCACACATAAGCTCTCTTAAAATTTCACTTGTTTTACCCTGTAAGGCCAGTCAAAAAAGATCTGAATATTTCCAAAAATGTTTGCAAACAAATTCCCCAAAGAATCACTCACTATTCAAGGAATACTTTTAAATTTGAACAAGTTGCACTGTGAATACCTCCTTTAAATGACAAAAAAAAAAATCACTTCTGTTTGATGATGGAGTCAAAACACAAACTTCCATAGCTCTTTTGCACTTCCAGCTCTACCCATGATCTTTTCAGATTTTCTTTTCCAGAGGCTGAAAACGAGTCTGAGATATGCCTGTAATACTTCATGGGCCTAATATCTGTAAATCAGGACGGGATACTGAGAGAAAAAATAATAAATTCTTATGAAAGTGAATTGTTCATCCTGCCCAGTCTATTTTTTTTTTTTTTTTCTGAGGTATTGCTTCTCTGACTTTCAAGGGAATCACTGCAAGAGCTTTACACACTGCATGGGTAGAAAGCTTCTCTGGGTGACCACTGTACTTCTTGTTAGTCCACTGCCAAGCAATCCCTATAAAATTAAATGAACAGATTAATGTACAGTACAATTCCTTTCCAGTCCAGTTACTGTTTTGAAGTTTCTTTGTATGCTCCCTTGTAAATACACCTTACCACCTGTAGAACTTAAAAAGTTCTAGAAATATTGGACTTACTTCTGAAAATCATTCTGTAGTTAGCAGCATGTAACTGCAAGACATTTCTGTGAGGGAATGTGACTTCCAGAAGTCACTCCAGTATTTAAAACCAGCCCACTTACTAATTCTTTAAAATATGTATTCTGAAAACTAAGGTTTTCTCTAGCCAGTTTTATAATTTTTGCAAAAGAAAGAAAATTAAGCTTCATACAGCAAGTAAGTTGTCTAGTTTTACTACTGGTTTAATATTTCATTAAGCTGATATGACAGCTGCAGAAAAGTAAGGTTAGGATGATTTACAGATGTATCCTAAGAGAAATCTGTTTTAAATTACTAATTTATTAATTGAAAGACACAATTACTGAGGTTCTGAACAAAATAGCCATTTCTGTAATTACCTAAATTCTAACATGATGGTTGTGCCTGGTTGAGCCCATATTCCCAGTTTCAAACAGCAAATTTATTGGAATCAATATTAACTTCACAGATACAGAGGAAAACAGCAATTGACTGAAGCAGAGTTGTTTTGTGAAATGATGCAAGAACTTGCAAGTTCTTCCAGATAGTACCTACTTCTTGTTATTTCTAAATGTATTTTTTAAATTATTGATTAATTTTATCATAAAGACTCTGTATTTTAGGTAAAGGCTGTATTCATAAGTTGCTATTTTATAAGAAGTCTGAAGCACTTCAAAAACATGACATGAACAATAAATAAATTTCACTTCAACTACAGTGGAGAATAAACTAATGAAACTATTTCAAGTACACTCTATCAGTTGATTGTACAGAAAGCAAATATTGGTGCTATCTATGTATGCTTGAAAGCATTTTATATGTCCATCCACACAAAACCAAAAAAATCTATTAAAACTGTAATCTGTTTCTCTTTATTTATAAAAGGTACAGCAAAATATTAATGAATTAAATGCATACAGTAGCTGTTCCTCTATGGGAACGACATCTTAGTTAGCAGGTGCCATTGTGTGTCAACCAGTACCGCAGTCAAATGGCTCTCATAATCTTTTCATAATTAATGAAAACCCTCCAATGTCTTGTCCCACTGCAGAGCTGAGGTTCAATAATTAGGATTCTGGAGGTAGAGATGATCTGGAGAAAAAGGAGTCCTATAAAAAAACACTCAAAATATTGAAGGCTTTTTAAGTATAAACTTTAAAAACTGAAGATCTCTCTAAAACATATGCAGCAACCACTTCCCTCCCCAGCTCTTCAATACAAATGGAAAATGAAAGTCACATCTCTTAGCCAGCTGTGAGAAACTGGACAGCTCAGACTTTTGTTTCCACTTTGACTGTGCCCTTGAATTCCACTTCTGATCTTTGCAGCCACTCCTCTTTCTGCCATTCAAAACCATGCAGGCAGTGGGCAGCCTAGTCATCCTCTGAAGTTTATGGTGTGAGCTACTCACATGCTGCTTAGATCTAATCCAGTCTGGTCATTCATGTGTTACACACAGAGTAATGCTTTTCAGATTTAGCTGCATTTTAATTCAAGCGAGAATCAAACAAGTCACTAGAATACCCTGGTTCCATGTCAAGGTCTTCCAAGGTCTTATTTTGATTTGATTATTTTAAAAAATCTTGGCTCAAGCTTGCAGGGAATTGAGAACTTCAACAAGATTCATTACTCCGCTGTCTTCCAGCACTGTGCAATGCTTCTACTGTGTTTTCAAAGATTAACGCTATATTGTGAAAGACACAGGTAAGCATTATCAACTGTATTTTCAGAGAAGGAAATAAAGATACAGAGTGGTGCCATTATAGTCTCATATGATAAATCAGACCACCATGTTCTGGACCTTATTTTTAACCACTGGACAGGTCTTGCCCACTGTAGCAACCCCCTGGGCTTGTTATGATTCCTTGCTCTGCATTTTAAGCATGAACTAGTCCCAGATAAGCCTTCAATGCACATATAAGACATAACAGGACACCAAACCTTTTTCTTAATTTAAAAACAAGTTAGTCTTCCATGTCATCAGTTTTCCCTCCTGCAGTTTGTACATAGTAGCATCACATCTCTGCAGCATTAAAAGGTAGTTATAGACAAAACATCAGAGGAGGGGACTGTGATATAAGAAGATGAATGCACCTCAACAAAAGTACATTTACCTTTGCTGTCTCCTAATCACCTGTTTGGTGCTGGCTCACACACACAAAAATCTTTTTTAAAAATCCTCTCTGAATTTCCTTCTCTCACTGACTCTGCAGCAAAGTTATCAGGGTTCACTTATAACAACAGTGGTAATTGCAGCAGAACACCATGATGTTACTGAGGATGAGTAGAAGCCTGAGAGAATGTCTACAATGTATACCAAACATACCAGGCCATATTCTGAATTCTTTAGTCAACACTTACACAAGGAACAATCTGGGGCCACATCCCCTCTTTGCCCCATATGTTCTACATTACACAAGAGCAAATGCGTACATGAAATCATTCTGAATCTCTAGCATCTTTTATCTCTTCAATGATCTCAAAGATTGCATATGGCATAAGGCAATGGTGACTAAAGCCTCATAATCTTTACAGGGAGTTTTGCCTCAGAGACTACTGGTAGACACTGAAACAGAACTCAAAGATCTTGTTGAGTACAAACAGCACCAAAGTACAGGTAAATGAAGAAATTTACCACTTGAGATTTGCTCATGGCATTCCTTCCTATAAAATAGCTCATGTTTTTTTTTTAAAAAAAGCGCTAAAATTAAACTTGTCCACATGTGAAGAACATGGTGAGCTAGAATATTTATGAACCAATGAATTATGTGCACATCTGTGGCAACTTGAGGTAGATTTTTCTTCTTGTTTCAAGTATGTTCCAACACATACTTATTTAAGTTCTCAGCAATGCTGAACGAACTTGTATCTTCAGTCTCTTTCAAGGCAGGCATTTTTGCTAACTCTTTGACACAGGAAGTGCATTCTCTTCATCTCCAGGTTGCACAGGTTTGCTGCTTCCTCTTAACGTTAAAAACGAGTATCTCAGTCCTCCTACCATACTAAAAAAAAAGAGAATGAACAGAGGTGTCAGAGATAACTTACATTGAACATATAATTTTACAGGTAATTACCTTTCCTTCCAAAGGGTTAAAGAATGCCAGCTAACATAAATTAGGAGTGCCTCAGAGCTATGTAAGCCATTTGAGAAACCAGCCCTGAGTAGACAAAGATGAATTAGCAGTTGCTCCAACAGATTCATACAAATGGACATAACAATTCAGCCAAGCACAAAAAGTAACAACTCACAAGTTATAACTCATATTCAATGGGCACAACTCGGTCAGTGTTCTCACTGTCCTCACCACTTGGCTTTTACTTGCAAGCCTCACAGCTCAGAACTGCTGCTCATAAAAAAAAGAATGAACTCAATCCCACATAATAAAACTGCAGGCGTATTTCCATAGTTAAGAACCTACCACAGTAAGATTCAATATCTAAGACAGGAAAAGACATAACTGATTGTAATGAACTTTACATTCTGAGGCTGTGCTTCCTCAGGCCGGTAGTTTCAAAACTGCATCATCCAAGTGCGAGAAATCAAACAAAACATAAAACTTTATCCCACTGAAAAATTTTCAGCTTTAACAGATAAAGGTTATTCAAGTTCCACTCACCAAATATTTAGCCCTATGAAGTTTAGCACAGAGAATATATAATCTCCACCAATCAACATTCCAACGTAAGCTATAGATATATTCTGAAAGGAAACAAAAACCATGCATTTATTAAAATCAGTTTTAATCTCCAAGACTATAAACTACATCAATTAATTTACTTTTCGAAGGAAATAGCTATATTCTGTTGCTGGCCACTCTAAAATCAGTATTTGAACTAGTTTCACAGGATGTCAGCCTTATGGGTAATGTAACAGCCAAATAAAATCTTAAAATAAGTATGTTTTCTAAATGCAATGCATGGAGAGTGACTTTCTGGGGAAAAAAAAAAAAAAAAAAAGAAAAAAAATCACCTATTTGCTATTAGGCAAAATGAAGCTATGGCCACCTTCTGAAAATGTACTTCTTTTTAATCTTGGGAAGGCTCTTTTCAAATCCCATTTCTTAAAAGCGGGTTTTGGCTTCTCAAGAATAAAAAGTATGCTTTAAAGTTACAATAAAAGCTCTTTATTATTGCTTTAATAGGGTTGCCTCCTTTGCCAACTAAAAGTGCATTGAAAGCACTTGGCTCAAGTTCAAGGCAGCACAGTTTAATGAGAAAGATTCTACCTCTCACGCTGCCCCCATTAAGTTTTGGGAAGACTGTCCCCTATAGACAGAAGGAAAGCAATAGAACTGTGTGATCATTTTACCAACACTTTGTTGGTTTCAAATGTTTTAGCAGCTAACCTGGACAATGACATAATTTCTATCAGCTTCTACTGGGGACTACTGCATCATAAAGCACTTCTCAATTTTAAAGCTGTTCAAAATGTCTCAAAGATAACTATTGCTCAGAAAATAGAAATAGTGTTGCTCTATCTCAATGGTTCAATGCAGACATATAAAATTTAAAAAAACGCTTTCAGGGCCACAGAATGAAAACTACTAGATTAATCTTGCCAGCTTTCAAAAAAAAAAAACCCAAACAAACCCAACTGCAGAAAGAGAATTACCATCTTCCTTCTGCAGATTTTGCTATGCTGGAGCTACTGTTTACCTTAGTCACCCATGCAAGGGAGCACCTTGAGGCCTGTTATTCCTAGTCTAAACTAGTTTGGATTCTGATAGTTGTTTGGCCCACAACTGCACAAGTTTTATATTTTGCTCTTCCATGTGACAGTACCTAATGAAATGTGGTTAAATGTACATCTTTTAATTAAAGTAGTTCAAGTTTCTCTTGAAGAAAAATAAAACAATACTCATATTGCTTTCTAGAGTATATCTGAGCTTCAGTGGAAGAAAACTAGCTCACTGTGTGGTGTGACCTTGTTTCGCAAAAGCAGTGTCTCACTATTAGCCCTCATTTTGAGTGTCCAACTCAAAACATAATCAGGATCACTGCTGAATCAATGCTCTTCCCTGTCTATCTGAGCATTCTCATCTCCCTCTTCTGCTCCGTAACCCACCTTGATGGCACCAACTACTGTTGTTGTGAGCGCGGAATTGTAATGGCTGCATAGGACAGTAGAATACATCAAGAGAAACCTAAATAAAGGAGAAAATTTTATAAATTCCTCCCAGGGACCACAAAAGTTTAGCAACACTACATTTTTCAACATTTTCAACATTTTTCAACACTACATTTTTCAACATTCAGCATTTTCTGGATCACTATTTTGCTAGGATCTTCAATCCCAACTGTTCCACACCCTAAAAAAAAGATTCTGTGGATCTGTATTTTAAGTTAATGATGTGCATATACAGAGTACTCAAAGTACACATTAAAATGTGCTGCTTGAGCTCTAGCAGAGTCATCCCTGTTCTCTGTGCTTCTTAAATGTCAGTATTTGAAGTTACCCCTTGGTTGGAGACATGTGAAAGAGCAAAACAGGATCCAACTCATTTTTCTATTCTTCCTTTGACTCTGCAGGTCAAACAGGAACACAGCATTGTTTCATTATTTTTGAGTCTCCCACAATTTACAGGTATTTTAAAGAGCAAACACATTGAAACAATTCCTGTTCTAAAGGGCTTACATTCTATTAAATGCAAATAAGAAGATAGATAATCAGAAGAGACGTCCATCAGAGAAATACTGAGTACAGAAAGTAAAAAACTGAATCTCATGTTGTTGTACACTGTGCTGCAAGGTCAACAACCAGACAGTACTGATATGGCTGTTTACACTATTAGAAATAATTAAAAGACAAGACAGAAGCCTAGGGGAAAAATATATTTTCTTTTAACTTTACCATAACTTATTAGTGAGTCTTATGTCTCAGATTTTGCAATTTGAAACACTGTCATTAAAACTTCTTACTGGATTGCCCTGTGTCCTTACCCCAACAAGCAGGAAAGAATAAATTGAAAGACAAATAAAAAATTTGTCCAGTGCTGGAAATGTGTTGCCTATTAAAAAAAAAAAAGAGAGAGTGAGAATTATGTGCTATATAATCAACTGTAAACACATATAAAATGTAGCTAATATGCAAATGTGCAAAATCTCAAAATACATTTGATTCATATTATAATTACAAAACATTTGTATTAGTACTGGAAACAGTTGATGCATTTAACTTCAGAGACAACAGGATGACAGCACCCACGATACCCAGACACATTCTTGCAGATATAAAACTGCACACTGCAAGCAATGAATATAAATACAATACAGAGAATTTGTGTTTTTCTATTTTTTGATACAGATACCAACACTGTGATTAATATTACACAAGTGTTGATATGAGACAGAGAGAATAAAAAAATAAATAATTTTCTTGAAATCTATTTCATACTATAGATTCATTTATGAACAGCTTTCAAGGTCCAAGCCTGCAATTTTGAGATCAGAAATAGATTAAATAAGCATTACTAAGGTCTCTCATCAATGAAGGTCAATGAAAAGGCTAAATCACAACTTTGAAGTCTGATCCTTAGTGATGTACAGCAAACAGACACACAGTGACACACAACAGTCACTAAGAAAGATGTCACAGATTCTTTTCATCTCTGTAACTCCAGGATATGCCTCATTTTAATCTGGTTAGTTTAAAGCTACCTGTATCAGTACAAAACTCAGGAAAGGCTGAACACATCCCTGAGGAGGAATAGGATAAAAGCTGTTAGTCCACACTCAGCTGTGGCGAGCTGAGCCTCCACCACCTGGTGTAACAGATTAGAGGGATCTCAGGCAGCTCTGCGCTGCTAGAATTGCACTCGTGTGCTACAATAAACTGCAAAGTATTACAGAAAGACATTCTGGGGCTTCCTTTCTCTTCCACTGCATCATGTTTTCCTGTCCTTCTAGTCAGTCACCTGGTGAAGGAGAAGTGAATAACTGAGACACTCATAAACTGCAGTCTCTATGAGATGTGGTAGCTACCATTCCAGAACTAGCTAGGGCAGAAGCAGCAATCTGTCACATAGACACTGTACTGATATTTTGACTGGCAAAAGATAACATGCTCTGCATTGTCTGTAACGGATCAAGGCAAAAAGCTCTGCTAGGGTAAAAGCAAGCCAACCCACATGACCCAAAAATTTGCTAAATACAGGTGTTATCTACAATGTTTTGTCAACTTTTCATCAATATTTTTCCATTTTCACCCTCTTTTCTCTGATTTAATTTCTGCATCACATTGACACTAGTTATCCACATAATTTAATAGGACTTTTAATATTGTGACCAGGCCACTGTGTATGCACAATAGGCAATATGCATTTCTCTCATATTTATTTATTCTTTTCAGTTAATTGGTCATTAAATTGTTTATGCCAAATTAACATGTGAGCACAACACACTCTTTACTTTTCTGATGGAATAAACCTAGAAGCAGAGGAAACTGGACAGGGAATTTTACCGAGCAAGAAGGTAAAATTCCCTGTCCAGTTCTCCCAAAATGCCTCCACCCTGTCTGCTGGGAAGTTGAAGCAGTTGAAACCTTACATACAAACTTTGCTCCCACTACATCTGACCAGATGGGCATCAACTGCATTCTCCTAAACTGGCACAAGGTCATGCTGGACTGACACCACAAGAAGAGATTTCACACTCAGATCAGATCTAAATCGATCATTTTCAAGGAATGACAATTTTTCCACTTAAAGTAGACTTCTAAGAACACAATGAAAAAAACATGTGAGTTCACAGCACAACATACAACAAAGTACAATGGAATGATTTATGACACCCCCAAGCTCTGTAACAATTTCCAGTGGTGAATCTCAAACATTTCCAGTAAGTAATATGAGTGTCTAGTCTCATTTTACTGGTAAGAAAAAGGCAACTCAGGAAGTCTGTGAGGGAGCCAGAAAAACACAAACCTCCTGGTTTGATACTTTACATGCCAGAACATACTAACTATTGTATTATACTGTACTATGATTACCTATGGAGAGTCATGCTGTTCTATGAAAATGTAGAATGTAGGTCACTAAACTAGACTGAGATGGAACAGGAATCTGTTATGTGCATCAGAAGGAGAGAAGGACTAGAAATTGTCTGGTTTTGGTATTTGCAATCTCATTTTAGAACACACACTGCAGTGTGTGGAGTCTCAACCAATTGCTCTACCTGAGAGTCTCCAGGCATACACTAGTTCTTAAGCAAAGATTCATATAAGGGGTATCGTATCGTATCGTATCATATCGTATCGTATCATATCGTATCGTATCATATTGTATCGTATCAGAGCTTCTCCTTAGAGCGAATAATTACAAGTTCTTACCTGTAAAAAGCAAGCCCAAGTCACATATTTCAAATACTAGATTATCTTTTTAAAAACAAACATAAAAACCCACCCAACCCACAACTGAAAAAACTGAATGAAATACCGTTACCAGTCTGAGATATGTAATATTGCTCCTTACCTGCTGAAAGTCTCCAGTAGAAAAGCTAAGAATAACTGTTGGAACCACCATGAAACAAGCATTATAGAAAAGTACACCATATTTTCCCAACTCCTGTGAAAAATGAAATTGAATTACTAGCCATTTGGGCTAAAATTACTAAATACTACCCTGGCAATCCTTCTGACATTATTGTCAATGAGCAGACAAAATATAATACATTTCAATTTAAAATACAAACTTGAGACTGTTGGAATCAGTGTTTAGTACTGAGATGAGTTTCCACTTAAGTCACTTTGTCTGTATGCTCAGCAGAATATTACTGCTCTACTATACCTTGAACAGTTTCTATACAACAGCAGCTAGTCAGAAACTTCCCAAGGCACCGTTCCATAACTGCTTTGTGTTAAGACTCCACGTAAGTCTCTGCCTGGCCAAGGGATTATCCATTCCATCTACAGTAAATCAAACCACAAAAGCATATAGCAGGATGACTCCCTGGGGCCAGCATAACAGGAAAATTAATGAAGTCTGACTCCTAGATGGAGCATCTTTAATCACTGGTAACTGATGTAATTTCAAGGAACTTGAGGGATGCCATATATCCTGTTGGTTAACTTGCTTGATACAAAGGCAGAAGATTAGGGTAATGAAAAAGCAGCCTTCCTTCCTCCAGATTCAGCCATGTTATTTAGCTCTCCATCTTATCTCATGTTTTAAAATGAAACTGTGTTTTTCAGAAAACTGTGAGATTTTTAAGTGCTGCTTATAAAGAAAAATACAGAGTCTGGATTTTATGTGACTCTTAAGATTATTAAAAGATATATATTACCACTGTACAGACTGAACCACAAAAGTCAGTGACAAAACCTCTATCTAGCATCTCCAAGACTGCTCTTTGCTATGGTTTGGTTATGTTTTCATGGCACTGTATTTGAAGAGCATCCTGCTCAACGTTTACATAAAGTATAATGTATCAAGGTATCACCTAATTCTTTGGTGTACCTGGGTTTGTTGTAGACTTGCTTTTAGATATACAAAAAATATATCAGTTGTGATTATTAACTCAAACTGGACAGGTCTCCGTTCCTACCCACAAGTTTATTTTACAAAAACCTCAATTAAAATCACTTTCTCGTCAAACAGTTACCTTTCTTAGATAGATAGATAGATAGATAGATAGATAGATAGATAGATAGATAGATAGATATAAAGTTTACAGGTAAACAATTTGCATTTATTTTGGATTTATTTTTTTAGCCAATAGGAACATTTTAAAGCCACTACAAACTCAGCCTAAAAGACTCTGGAGAAAATAAAATACTCTTAACTGGCCTGAGATACTAATAACAAGTTTTTCCCAGGCTCTTCTGTATAAATGACACATATATCAACTGAAATATGAAAGCAAATGAAACTTTTGAATAGTTCATAACTGTATGTTCATAAAGTCATACTGTCATAATGTTAAACTAAATGTAATCATCTCACAGTTACCTTTGGATCGATTTTCTGCTTTGTGTAAACTCCATTTGCGGCTGTGAAGATATCATTTAGCAACACAAAGGTGTAGCCCTCCAGATTAAAAGACAGATCAGACCTGAGAAAGAAATATAAATAAGTGTAAATAAGCTTGTAAATAAGCAAACAGTATACAATGCGCTGCATTACCTTATTTATCTAGAGAAATAACATAAACGAGGAAATGCAAATCTTGAAAACTCCAGCAAGTCACAGATTTTGCTTTAAGTCTTCTTTGCAAGTCGAATTACCTTACATTTCTCAAGTCACAGGACCATCACAAATAAGTCATCAGAGAGCTCCCAGTACTCGGTGTGGAAGTGGCAGGAAACATTCAGTTTTCATTCTTTGAAAAATTCCATCTGTCTCAATCTTGACAACTTGTCCAATTATTACTGAGTATACTTATCTATTTCTTTTTACACAAAAAGTAGTGAGGGAATAGTCTGACTACTTGTTTTTTATAGTCAGACCAAACATATTGTCATCCTTTCTGTTTTGACTAGTTACCTTATGGATATGGCGTGATTAATTTAATAGGACATGGCTCTATCTGAGTCACATCACATGGAAAATATTTACCTTCATGCATAGGAAATTATTTACCTTCATGCATAGCAAATTCAAGAAACAAAAAATAACATTGTATTTCCAGTTAGGTAAAGGAATATTCAAACAGAAAGAAAACAGAGGAGACTAGCATACAAGTGCTTTGTGAACTTCATCTCACATTTGAACTTGTTCAAAGTGATTAAAGAAACAGACATTGCCTAACTCAAAACAATATTTGACAACCAAAAAGTTAAGTCTTTCTGTCCAGAACAAGAATATATTTTTCTAAGATTAAAATACACTGATACTATGAAATAAAAGCAGCATTCTTCACACAGTTTTAACTTGCTTCTCTTATGATCCTATAAACATGGAAAACCTAGGACGGGGAAAAAGAACCACCCAAATACTTCCAGCTGGAGTTAAATTTTTCCCTTTGTGTTATGTAACTCCCAATGATGTCAGTAGAGAGATCTGCCAAACTCATCTCAACTTAGGTTTACTTGGCACTTAAAAAGGAAAAAAACTTCCTGTTGTCCCTCCTCTCACATCATGACTTCATATAACAAATGAAAACCTTACCCAGCTGCTATGAAAGCCCCAAGAATGATGGCAAATACGCTGACTATAATACTCAGTGGGTATCGTTTCCTGCAGACAAAAATTAAGACAGTTCACATTTTCATTATTTGTAGAGGAGATTAAATGGCTGTCTGCCTGAGAAGCAATTAGTAATCACAGAACATTTAACAGGAGGCCACTATCTTGCTAACCTTACAGAAACCATGTAATTGACCATGTGCCACGCTGTCAGACCTTGGCCCTGAGAACCGAGATTGAAAAAGCATTGTGAGCATTCTGCTACTAGATAATTTTTAAAGAAAAGATTAAATGTTTAAGGTTAACAGCTCTGAAACAAACTTTAATTTACTGTGTATTGGTATTCGTAATGGACACATTTCAGTGTAGTCCAGTAATCCAATGCATTTTTTCATCTCATCTTTCTTGGGGAAGATGCTGTACAGCACAACAGCTTTGTTATTTTTCAAATAGATACTTAGTCTGAAGTCAAATTGAAACGTTGTATGTGAAAGGGAAAGCATGGAAACTTACCATATTCTTCACTACATCTTCATCAGCACTCCACTGAGTAGGGAAAAGCATACCATAAAACTATTCTGCTTCTTATACCTGTACTGCCTTACTTAGAAATATCTTAAGTACTTATTTTTGCACCATACAGCAATGTGCCTTTCAAACATTCCCCTAGTCATCTCCCCACATCTGAGATGGCCTGTGAGAAATATACAATACTCTTGGAGGAATATTGTGTGTCAAAGGAGCACAGCTGTGGACCACTGTCCCAACAACAAAGCTGTATGTAGTCTCCAGATATGTTAGGCTTTGATTATGACTCTCAACAGTAACAACCCAGACCTTGACTGCTTTTCAAATCCTGAGATAAGCCAGCATAAATTCTCTAGAGTCCTTTCATTTTCAGTCCTGAGGAAATATATTGCAGCAGTATGTACAAATACAGTGTTTTGCTCTTAAACTTCCTTTAGGTTAGGATGTTGCTAGCACTCAGACACCATATTGCTGTAGTCTAGCTGAGAACTGATGACAACCTGACTAACTCACAATTTCCTCACTTGCTTGTGGGAGTCCTCAAGACAGCAAAAGACAGTAAGTTCTGCTTTCCCTGTGAGAACTTACAACTAGAAAGCAATCCTGGAGCATCCCCAAATATGAATCACGTTGATCCACTGCTGCTTCATCTGAAAAGAGATGACAGTCTACTTGGGCCTTTTCTGAAAAGCTTTTCCCCTGATCATCACTCAGATGCTGCCTAGGTTCAGCTTTTCCCCTTATGAACTCACCTTAAGCAAGTACAAGTGATCTGGATGGAACTATGACAGTGATAAAGTATGATGTATTTATATTCCCATTCTTCCAAGCTAGTACAACTGAAACTGATGATCCCAAGCTGAAATAGCATATACTTCTTAATTTCTCATTAAAAATAGCAGAGGTATCTGTAATTACAGAGTTTTGTGATCTGACAGCACACTGGTAGATACCGTTTTGCTTCATTAAACTGGCATGTTTTTGGACTTGACCCAGAAAACTACTCTACGCAAGCAGACTGACATAGTATCATCACTGTTTTGAGACATAAGGATCTGCCTGCTAGAAGCAGTTTGCAGTTTAGGGGCCTCCGAGATGAGACACAAACCATAACTGCTAGAAGTGTCTGAGTTGTGTGCTGCTTACCTTATCCCTGTGCAACAGGTAAGACAATGAGCTGTATAAATGAAAGCAAGCTGATTCTTTTTCCTTTATTCACTAAAATGCAGGTATCTATCTATGTCTTCAAAAAAAAGCTACATAAACCCACTTCCTTTGCTTTTCTCTATTTGTCAGTAAAAAGCACTCATTCAATATTCTGATGAGATGTCACAAGTAATCCATTTGATATGATCTAAAATAAAGGTATTTAAAAAAAAAAAAAAAAAAAATAAGTGGAATGGTAAACTTCCTGAGCACTGTAAACATCGGCAAACTGTCAAAAAAAAAAAAAAAAAAAAATCCAAGCATAGTGTCAGATTAACAGCATTTTTATGTCCTAATTCTTATCTTAGTAACCAGAAGATTAAACCATTGGTCCAGCAATAAGCAACCAAAACAAATTCCCAACTGTCTGGTATATTTTAAAAAGAAGTCATTCTGACACTACAGGCAGATTAGATAACCATATCATTGAAAAATAATGAGATATGCAACTGGCTACCTTCTAAGATGTTCCTCTGCATCAGTGAAATGGAATATAAAAGCTATTTTCCCTATGGAAGAACTCTTTCTGCAGAATTCATGGGTAGGTAAAAATTATTTCTGTTTTAAACCAGGAGAACACACAATTAACCTGTCTCCAAAAACATGTAACAGAAATAAAATACAAAGCAAACATACTTGGTAAACAAGTTGTACTTTAAAAAAAGTAAAATAAATCTACAAGAAAAAATCATAGAAAGTACAAAAAACATGAAAGGTGGGACCAGCTGCAACTACCAAACAGTTAATTTGAACAACATATTGTTGGTCTACATTAAGTAATGTAGTTGGAAACCTTTTTTTTTGATTAATTTGAGAATACACTTGTGTCTGACATCATGGCTGTATGGACCAATTAATCCTCTGTTTAAAATAACTATTAGCAACTGCATTAATGAATTATACAAATTCTAACACACAGTTTAATCAGTTTACAATAGACATTTTGAAGTTATGCATAGGATCATCTATACCTTACTGACAACCCAAACAAGGTGGGAAATTCCATAATATAAACAAATGTCACATAATGTAGCAAAACACAACACAGTAAAATGTTAATGGTAGAAACACTGCAGCCATTCTTACTCTCCTGTTATCAAAATTATTTATTAACAGTGAATCTAAAAGAGGTATGTCAGCCACAGGAGGAGGAGCCCGTGCACTGATGTTTAAAATAACCTACTGAACTTTTTATTTTAAAATTACACTTAAGGATATGGAAAAGAAGAACCCATAAATCAGACTTTTATAGATTGAAACTACTTCCATATTCACAATGGCTCAAGTGCTACTAGGGACAGTACTGCCAAAGTCCTGATGTCGGCCTGAATAGTCACTTCAGTGAAACAACTTCCGAATGCATACAACAAAGAGTTGCAGAATCAGGCATCTAATGCTGCTAGTCAGAAAAAATAATTCCATAAAGAAAAACAAATGTAACCAAATTAAAGGAAATATATTTTCTCTCCCAGCATCTGTCTCAAAGTTATGAAATGCTGAAAACCTGAAAAATTCTCCATTTTGGTTTAGCTTACTGTCAAATCCCCAGGAACCTGTAATAACATACAAGAAACCATTGCAATGGTAGTGCTGTATCCTCCAATCCTGGTGCAGTCATCATGCTTCTGCACTCCTCTCCCACAGAAAATTTGGTCAACCAATCTACTGCAGCAGGTCCTCTATGTAACTTACACCTCTTTAACACTAGCATGGAAGAAATTCTCATGGATCTATGCTTACAGGCACAGAGGAGCCAGCAAGCCCTTCAGCAACCTCCCCACAACCTGCTTTTGGCGCTCAGCAGGGCTAAGCAACAGCCACTATCCCACTACACAGAAGCTTCTCTATCTCTTGGCAATAACCTGCACTGACATCACAAATCTTTCCTTTATTCTTCTTCCTTCAAAACCATCATTCTTTCAGCTTTCAAACTCTCTGGTTAGGATACCCAGGAAAAGCTGGACACTTGGGTGTGAGGGGAAAGTGAAAGCACTTTCATTGTCACAGCAGAGTATTGTGACAGTACGTGCCTGGCTAAGCCCCCCTTACATAAGGAAGCATAGAACTTGTAAACAGATCAAATGTTTGGCTAAGAACTTCATAACAGTATCAGGGGTTTAGACAGACAGACAGACAGTATTTAAGGCCCTAAGCAATGCTCTTCTTTAGTGTTTATTTTTTACACACACCCTCCCCAAAGGGTAAAATCCAAACAGTCTACTTATAACTTCCATTTACTATACCTGAGTTTGCTGGTACTTGATAATCCACTTATGTGGTTTCCAACATAAATCAGAGGCAGAGGAAACAACTGTGATAAAATTAAAAGCACAACTCAAGATTATTACGTTTTGAAGCACTGTTGAGAAACTTTACTTGATAGAATTTTATAACTATAATATCAGATATATTTTTAGCAAGAAAGATGTTTTTTAAAAAAAAAAACAAAACTATGCTGCAAACTGATCTGAAGCTCCCATTTATGTGACCATTCATGATCCATTCACTGATTTCATTAGAAGAGTTGTAATCTACCTCTAATGAGACCCAGACTCCATTTAGAGTAAATGTTAATCAGTTTTATTTTAATTACTATAATCTTCAGATTAATAGCCACTCTAACATTTGAATTTTAGGTGTAAAAGTAGTATTCAAAACAGTAGCTAAATAAGCAAGAGAACAGATGGAATAAAAGAATGAATAAACTGTACGTATGCTGTGCTTCTCTAGGTACTCTGCATATATTACTATGTCTGGAAGATACAAAATTTTAGATCTACCCAGCAAATTATGCTATGTGAGATACTAGAAATGAAAGATAAGTATTTAGGGGTAGATTAAACTTTACCTTTTCCAGCTTCTAGCATTATGAGACTGACTCACACAGAAACATATGGGCCCTAACACAATACAGAGAAACAATAACAGAACTTCAGAGCCTTAAGAAAACGTACAAGAAGCCAGGGATCCCCACACAACATTCAGCTGCATTTCAAAGCTATTAACTCTCCCACTAGAGAAAAACTGCAGAAGATTAAAACCAGTCAAAGTAATCAACGGGGACAAAGGTGGTGTGTACATCTAGTCCCATTCACTATCAGTCAAATGGAGCTGAAATGGCAGAAAGACAAAACAGATCCTCTATCCTAACGTGTAACAGCTGCTGTTGTTGCGCTTATACATGCTTCAGAAGACACTGTGTTTGTCGGAGGCTTTGCCCTCTCAAAGCACTGTATGCTTCAAAAGTATACAGAGGAGTGGGCTGCATTTTATCTATGTTCAAGATTTTGCGTTTCTTTTACAGCAAAGAGGAGAGAGGAGAATTGTGCAGTAAAAGTTAACTAAAGTTAACTAAAGTTAACTTTTAAGTGAAAATAACAGTGAAAGTGAATAGGACTACAAAACAAATAGAAGTGTAAGTAACAATAAATATTCAGCCTGTCAACATTAGTTTGCAAATCTTTTGTAATGCTCTCTCCTTTTATTTAGAAAAATGTTTTATTTCATTCATAGAATAAAAACAGAGCTGACATTACATTCTCTTTCCTCTGAAATTCATCTATTGTAAAGACAAAATTTCAACATCCAGCACAACATCAGAGATCAGTGAAACATCTACTTAAAACCGGTGAACAACTCTAAAGCTTTGTCAATAAAATAACCATTTTGCTAGTTTAAAACTCTAGCTGAAAACACATAAACCAGTCCAGGAGTGAAAAGCAATCTTAATGTCAATGAAAGCAGAAGTTGTCAAAAGGATAAAGAGCTGGTCAAAGGGTGCTTTGAAAAGTAAAGAAATGAACATTCCAGCTGACTAGTCAAATCCAGCACTACAGCAATATGCAAGTCCTGAATGCTGCAGCGCTGACTGCTTCCACCATATCCAGGAAAGTCTTCCAAAGGATAGATATTATTGAGACCAAAAAAAATTGGTGATTTTTTTTTTTAATGCCTTTGTACTAAAAGTGAAGTCAACAGCAGACAAGAAGAGTTGTACGAGTGGAAGAGGTGGAGGGAAGAAACTTCTTGAGGTCTTAACAAGTTGTTTGTATGTGGAACTCAGAACTATCCACTGGGAAACCTTTCATATTTTGGATTTTTACATGAAGAAATGGTAATGATTTCAACATGCATTAGGAATAAACAGTATTCACCAATGGGTGTGAGACATTCATGATAAACCTCATACTGATGGCAAGACAAGATGCTGCAACCAAGTTGCTGGCCTGAAGAGCTCTGATATCTGAGGCCTGTAGCAGAGCTTGGAGCTAGCTCTATCTCTGAGCAAACACTGACCAATACCCCGCAACAAGTCATAGATACAAAGGCTTATGCATCAAAGTAAAGCTCCAGCAACACTGGATGCAAAAGTCTACAAAGATACTGCTGTAGTCATTTCAAATCCTAGTTCCCAATCCGAGATAATAAAAGTTCCTCTCCTATTTCCTCAGTTCTGTCTCTTTAGACTATACACATTTAAGGTCTGTGCGCTGCAGCTAGCCCCTTACAGTTTTTTCAGTGGGCATTATTTTAGCCCCTTTTAGTCAATTGTTGGTTATTTTTTTGGGTCTATTTTGCCTATTCTTTTCCTAATGTTTATCACATGTCCTACTTCCAAGCAGCCTTTCTCCCTTCATATTGTAATCAAAATTATTTCTTAAACACAGATCTCCCATTGATCCCACAGGGAGCTGTATACATCCAGAAAAATACTTTAGGTATCTGAAAGAGTTCATCCAGCCATATGAACGTACAGCACCCTTTCCCATGTACTGCGTTACAAAATGGCACCACATTTCTCTGCAAACAAAAGGCCAAAATATTCACAAAAATATTGTGAAAATAATCAAATCCAATATTAAATGAAACAAAGATAGAAATAATCACATTTGACAAATGCAAACTTTTTCTGTTCGTCTTTTGTATCTTGTCTCCATAAGAAAGAAAGCCATTGTAAGAGGTAACATTTTCCTATTAATTATCAGGACTTATGTAATCCTTACCTTCACAGGTATACTTTTGTCAAAATCGGGGAAATGAACAATCTTATTTAGTTTTGACACATACAAGATAAGTATGGTGGCTGCCATCTAAACAAAAAGAAAAATCAAGAAGTTATGTAAAAGCAAAATAGTAATATATGAATGAAATAAGTGCTTCAAAAGACAAAATCTTTATATGCACTAGACAAATGCTAGGTATTACGTATTTCTTTCAAAGAACAGCACAGCACACAATTAATAAACTGGAACAACTTTATTGTTATCAATTTTGCCAGCTATTTACTTAAAAGCACAGTATAGGCATATGCTTTACTAGCTTGAGAAAATTACCAGCACCCTGTGAAACAACGCATGCTGAGAAGGAGCTGAGAAAATTGAACAGGACACAATTCCAGAATAATCATGATGTTTTCACTCAGTGTTGTTTAGTCTGCAGAATCACTCTTACAGCTTTTTTGATAATGCAAGACAGGAGTTGTGCAGCAATCAGTCTGTTGACCACATGAAGAAGAAATAATAAAGATATGGACAGAATGAAGGAGAACCTGAGCAATCACACATCACAAAAGTTAACACTGGCTCCAGGGAGGAAAAAAAATGTTAGGATTTATCTTATACAAAAATACAATAATTGACTATCTAGAGTACAGGCTGGATTTGGGTTCTGCAGACTAAATCAGACTAAAATGCGTATTATATGCATTTTACAAAGTGTTCCGGGAAATCTTGGAAGGATCAGTCAGCAAAGAATGGAAATGCCATTGAGTCTTAAGTTCAGCAAGTAAACAAAGCCATATCATTGTCCTTTAACATGAATTGTTGCCACATTTTCTAGTCTTTGGCTTTCACTAAAACATGATGTGTGTTTTCCTGAGCAGTCTGGATGTGTGAAACTCTCTCCCTTTCACACAACAAAGACTTTACAAGACATTTTACTCTCTTCAGCATCAAACAGCAGAGAAGTCAGACTTGCTTGAGTACCCTGTTCTCATCTCTTCCTCACTACCCCTTAGCTTGTAACCCTGGCATAAGCAAACCCTCTCTTTTAAATGTATTTGCCTAAACAACACTTGCTTCAGGGCTCCATCCTTCCTAGCCATCTCTCCGCAGCCACACATTCTTTACAGATCACGTACACAAACATTTGAGTTTTTATTTTACTATGATAATTACTAACAAGAAATAACAAAAAACATGTTTCTGTTGCAGTACTGCAAATTGCCCACAGGCAAATAAAGCAGCAAAGAACCAAAACTGTGTGGTAGTCCTACTGGAAAAATGACTGGAACAGGGGGAGAGATTTATTAAGAAATACATATTTGTCTACAAATAGGGGCGATATATCTGCATATAACCCATAAAAGCTCAAGGACTCTTATAGGATCTATGCACTTACTAGACCAAATCTTGACAGTTTTGAAGGCCAGATCTCTTAATTACTGAACTCTGCAAGAGGAAATAAATGGCATTTCCAGTACTTTACCTGACTTTTCCCAGGCAATAGTTTTGATATAAGCTGAAACTTCCCTGATCTCACTAAAATAAATCACTCATCCTTACAGTGTATCTAATCTAGAAGACAGGCAGTATGGTGTAACAGATTTCCACCCCCCCCACCCCAAATATATCTCTATGTTACCATTAGTTTAACTTACAAAATGAGGAGTACGTTTAGTATGCTTTACTTGTGAACATACCTGTCCAATTCCAAGAAACATTGGTGATGGGAAGCTGAAAAACATAAACATAAATTTAACACTGAGGAAAGGAAAAAAAAAAGTGTTTAAATTTAACACCAAAGTCAACAACTGAACATGTGGATGACTGGCCTGTGTTTCAGAAAAGCTCAGGAACTTACTGGAGTCCTAGTATTTTATTTCTGTGGCAAAATACAAGCTGCATCCAAATAATGTAGCAATCAATTCTAAACTGCTAATAGTTTGGAAATATTTGTAAGTGAAGGTAACACACTTGGAGAACTCTTAGAACTCTTAAGAATGCATTATTTTTTGAGCAAACTTGGAAGCTTATCTCCACAGCCCAAACACACTACCAATATCTTTCTGTGAAAAGAAAGTACCTAGGTACATGTAGAAACATCTACTGCCTGCTAAAACAGCTAAATTCCTACCATATCCCTTCAGTTAGCTTTAGCTGAAAGGATGGATACTTGAACGTTAAGAAAGCAGAAACTTTAGCAGGACATCCGAAGAGCCTGAGTGCCTCCATTTTTTCCCCTAAATCTACATCAAGTTAAAACCAGTAAAGGTGTGGCAATACCTGTTAATTTTCCCTATGCATACTGAAACACAAAAAAAGAAGTTAGTTATGATGGATGGCTGCTTTATGCCATATCCAGCAGTGTCTGGAGCCTCTGTCCAAAAGCTTTATGTCCCTGAATGTGACAGTTCCTGCTAACTCTGAAGAGTCACACATTTTGCTGGACTGCACTGTCAGGGGCGGTCACACAGCAAACTGCATCCAGGGTCTCTAAACAAAACCCATTTAATTCTCTGTGCACATTTGCACTAACAAATGCCTAAGGAGGGTCCACACTCTCAACTAGCCTTGTAATTTTCCATTATTAGTGCCTTGAGGTTGTGGCTATTTATCACATAAGCCACGAGGAACTTGGTGTGTAAGAAATGTACATCTCCAACAAGCACCAGCACTGGGATGGGAACAGTATTAGCAAAAGAAATAAACACTCTGAACTGTAGCTGGAAGGCCCTAAAGACACTGGAGTCCTAACACTGATAAGGGGTTAGGAACCACCAGAAGCAAAAGTATTCCAGGAAG